TTCCTTCCTTCCTTCCCTCCTTCCTTCCTTCCTTCCCTCCTTCCTTCCTTCCTTCCTCCCTTCCTCCCTCCCTCCCTTCCTCCCTTCTTCCCTTTCCCATCTTTGCCTAATTTCATCTAGTACTCTGAGTGACCCATATCATCAGGGTGACTCAAGATCGTCAATACCAACATTAGTTATTTTACTACAATGATATTAGCATCTACTGAAACCTACTTTATCCCTATCCAAATTGATTTGGACTCCTGAGCTTTAAATTTCTTTCTCTACTTGATTGCTTCTCCTTCCTCATTGTCAGACAGATTGTCAGCTATCACTTCTGCTGCTTTCACGTGCCTATTTGGAGAATCTTCATCCTTTCTTTGTAATTTCCTTCCTCTCATCTGTTTTGATCCAGAAAACTTATAACCAAGGGAGTAAGAATGGCATGTAAATTTGGAACAGATGTAGAACCTGAGTAGCTAACTAAGGCTTATTTTTTTTTTTTAAGTAAGGTACACTGGATTTGTGCTGCTTATACCGATGCTCTTTCCCTTTTTTTTTTTTTTTTGAGATAAATGACACTATGTGATGTTAGTGTATCTAATTTCTAAGGGAAACTGTAGGACTAAAAATTTCTGTATTCTCAGTTGAAGAAACTGTCCATTTTCCATAGAATAATTTTCTGGATTTGTCAGCTCTTTTTGCAAGTGCTAGCTACATATGCATAATGTCCCTTTTTATTTATGTAGATGTATCCAATATGTCCTTTTGTAGATATCTTAGTATTACATCATCAATCTGTTCTGTGAACAGTAGAGCTGTTAGTATAAGACCTGAAAATAAATTTTACCACAATAGTCACAAATTCTATGATCTTTCCTAGTTAATGCTCAAATAATGTGACTGGTTTAAAAAAAAAAAAGTGACAGAGGCATTCCTGGTATCATTTGGAGTGTTATGTCTGGGATAACCTGAATTCAGCTTTATAACTTCAACAGTAAGTTTAGCATTCTCTGGCTCTTCTTGCACCTGAAATACTTTTCCAATTTAAACTTTACACTAAGATCCTATTTAATTTATCTCTTGGTATAAATGTATTGCGTAATGATTGCTGAGGAGCAAATACTATTAAAATGGATCCCTAGACATTAAGTTAAATGATCCCATTCCCATATCATTCTTCTATCTTTGTGTCATCTTTTTTAATCCAAGCCTCAACAAATACATCTTTGCTAGGAGGTGACTGTAGCTCAGAGATTGTTATTTAGAAGATTTTGTTTTGCTGTAGTGCTTGGAGACGTGTTTTCAAAAGGAGCGGTGTTTTTCCTCATTTGAAGGGGATAGGAACTGCTCCCCCACTTATCACACAACTCAAGTAAAATGTGCTTAGGGATAAAGTCAGTAGATGTGTTCAGTCCTTAATTTGCTCAACAATTCTATAGCGTTCAATACTGACCAATTATGTCCTTGCAACACTGCCAACCATCATGCTTTGAGTCACTTCTGCGTCTCTTGGTTTCTATAATATCATGCTCTCCTGGTTTCTCTTTGCCCTCTAGAATCTCAGTTATCTTGCCAGTGCCTACCCCTTAAATGTTAAGATTCCTAAGGTTTCTGTTCTAGTTGTTCTCCTCTCCCAACAAACAGTCTCCTGACTTTAATCGCCAGTATGTGCTGATAATTTATAATTATATGTCTGTAGCCCAGAATGCTTTCCTGAAAGTAAGCTCTGTACACCAGCTGCCCGCCAGATATGTCTACTCCATAATTCTGTGGGTTTTGATATGTGACACTTCTTCTTCTGTCCACAGGCAACAGGTCCTCAGGGTTTACTAAAGGAAGGTGCCAAAGGCTCTCTTCAGAAAAGCTTTGGGATTCTTAATGAAGCCAAGAAGTTAGCAAATGCCGTAAAAGGTTAGTGTGACCTCTCTTTGTTATTATTTTCAGCCTAATTGTAGTTCTATTTGGTAGGATATTTTATTACACTATTGGAAAAGTGGAATTGTTTCACTAGAGTTTTTATGATGGTTTTTATTATTGGGATTTAATGCAAGTAAACTATTTCACCAGTTTTATGACATTTTGTCATCACATCTCATTTTGCATTGGGTAATATTTCATAATTTTCAGACCTAATTTATATAACATCATTTCACTTATATCTAAAGTACAGTGACTTTTAAATTAAAGTATAACAAGTTTTTAAGAGTACCAAACCCCACTTGTTTTGGCTTCAGAAATGACAGTCACAAAGGAATGAGTTAGGCAGATGTAGTATAAATGTCCTTATGAAATTTTCAATTTGTTAGTGGTCACATTTCCTGAAAAGTTTTCACACTTTTTAAATACATTTTTTCTTGTATTTTCTTCCTAATTCAATCATCAAAGTGCATAAAATATCTACTCTAATCCATTAGGGGTTTTGCATTAAAAATGTATTACTCAATATAGCTGCTCTCTAGGTAAGCTATTATATTTATTATTTCATTCAAATATCTCCTGTTTCTCTCTGCAGCCTCATTCCTTGCCATTTTCTGGCTTGCATCCATCTCCCCAACTTCCTGAAATATTCATGGTCCTTCCAAAACATACTACTATTCCAAGCCTCCGTATTTCAGAGTGTTAATCCTTCCTTTTGGAATGCCTCTCCATCTTTCATTCTTTTTCGTATAATTACTTTTTACCAGACCTTCAAGATGAAGCTCAGATGTCATCTTCCCCAGGAACCTCGACACCCCATCTGAACCACATGCCCCTTCTCACTGCGTACCTTTCTCACAGACTTGTCAAACTGCAACCATGTACTTCGAGTCCATCTTCTTGAGGACGGACACGGGGTCTTCTTTTTAGCGTTGTTTTTCTAGTGTATAATATCACAGGGACTAGTCAAATCAGGAAATAAGCATATTTTTGAGAAGAACAGAATGGTATTGGTCTTTACTAACCTTAGAAAGAGAAGAGGTTTTATAAGCATTTATATTTGTCATGCTTTAACTAATTGTCCGTGGTCTCTAATAGAGGCTGATAGGAGATTACAACTTCTGGTGTCGGTGTGATGGTATTTTGATAGCAAAATGTTTGGACTGTGTGTCACAGGTGAAAAAAAAAAAAACCTGTATACATGATTTTGTGCAGGAGCTTGCTCTTATTCTAACCTGAAGAGTAACTATAGAGTCAAAACCTATTTTCCTCTTGGGCAAGTTGAGTTGATCTCATTACTTTGTGGCCACTCCTTCCCATCCAGTGCCTTTGTCCAGTGCTAGGAAGGATTAAGGTGAGGTGAGTGAGGTTAGGTCATGTAAGTGTAGGGTTAGGTCCTGTATTATTTAAAAGTTTAATACTTTGTTCATCATTGATCTTTTTTGAATCCATTTTAATCTTTTTAAATACTGCATTAAAATATTTTTGGTTACTGAGTGTTTTGGTGTCCCTTTAAATTTTATACCTGAGGTGAATGCCTGAGTCACCTCCCCTCACTCCCTGCTCTGCCCTCACCTCTATTTCCCCCAAAATACTGGCATTATAAAAAGAAAGAAAGAATCCCATTTTCAGAGATTTTTTTTTCCAAGAAAAAAAGAAATCTGAAGACAAGGCGGTAGAAAGGGTTAGGAGACAGAAATGTTCATTAGTTTAAATGTCTTTTTTTGTACTTTAGGTAGTACATTATTTAAAGTAATGAAAACCCACAAACTACTCAAGTAATAATTTCTCCAAAAATCCAAGCCAAGACTCTGACGGAGATGGGAATGTTTTCTTGCTACATTATGACATTCCCCTGATTTGTGGCCAATTACACAAGTAATAAAATGGCTGTTAATCAGGGAAATGCCATATATTACCACCAGGAACTGCTGAAATAGGCCCTACAGAGCAAAACTCTTGACAGCAGCTATTAAAATAGAGATTTAGTCATTTCCCTTTCTCTGGTGCCTGGAGTTAGAAGGAATAAAAATGGTGAGGCCAGTCTACCCTCTATATTTCTAATTTGTTACTTGGTTCAATTCAGTATAATCTGGTGAGTTCATGCTTTAGTCACGAATGACTTAGTGCTGCTCCCTGCCATTTTTATGCTGTCCTTGCCTTGAGGGAGTCTGAACTTGCCAGGAGCAATTTGTTTTGCTTTTTAATTTTTGAATATACATTTGTTAAAAGTCAATTTGCCCTTGTACGCATTTGAAATTTGAAACCAGTCTACACTGCACTGATTGAATGTCTACGGAGGTAAAAATCATGTCCTTGATAGATACGGAACTTGGGACAAATTGATGATCGAGAGAGTTAGAAGATGAATTAATACCAGCAGGTGAATTAATGCTCCTTTGCAGATTGACAAGAGAGTTTGTCAATCAAATAGCCAGTTGAGGTTCTCAGAAAATGTGTACAAGGCAAGGAATGAAGCAGAGGATGGTATATTAGAAGCCTGAGAATACTAAGACTTTACAGTTATATACTTTATCTTATACAGAGTAACTTCTCAATATTATTTACTTCTTAATTTATCCCTAATTTTTGTCTTTGCCCAAGTAAGTGAAATCATTCAATTACTAAGGAGCAAATAGATGACATTTCTGTAAACTGGATGACACTCCTATGAAATAAAAAGATCAATTCCCAAACCCAAAAATACTGACTCAGTAAACTGCATGACACATGGTACTGTCCAGCACAAAGAACAGTACCAAAATTATTCCACACATTATCTTTTATCAAATTAATCAATGCTTTTCTTCTATATTATGATCCTCCAAACACTCAGGCTTTCAGTCTAGACAAGTGTATCAGAAAGGTTCTGCCTTCATGAATGTAATACAGTTTCATTGACTAACCTGGTGAGATTCTGTTACTATTTTAGATTAGAAAAAAAAGAATAAACAGGAATACTGTAGTGCTGTTAAACCAAAGTATGATGTAGGATTTAAATTTTGTCCAAAGCCTTCTTTTATTATTAAAGATGTACTCCTTTTGACTTCACTTACTACCATTTGCCAGAATCAGTTTTTCTGAAGATAGACATGTGAAGGACAAACAAAATCTGTTCCATGGACAAAAAACAACGTTGGACTAAATGGATGAAATCAAGCTTGGATCCCCTAGCTGACCGTAGTGTGGAGAAAAATACCGTCTTTTCCCAGAGATATTGCCGCTTCCTCATACAGGGCTGTAGTTCCTCCTTTGGAGTGTGAATAAAGAAAATCAAGATAATAAAGCCAGGTTGGCGTCAGTTGAGGAGTTAAAATGAAAAGTAACAAAGTAGTGGCAGACATGGAAAGGGAGAACCTATTGGGCCAGACAGTACTTGTCTGGTTCTTCTCAAGTGCTTTTAGATTACCTTGCTGGCCAGAACACAATGAGCCTGCAGGCCCACAGTTGGGCTTCAGAGCTTGTCCTAGCGGAACTATAAGCAGGTTTCAACGTCTGGCCATTTTGGTTTCTTGTTACGCTTGCTGAAGAGAGGATTCGCCTCACCTCTATTCTGGTTTGTTTTTTTTAAAGATTTTATTTATTTATTTGACAGAGAGAACGAGAGAGCACAAGCAAGGGGAACAGTAGAGGGAGAGGGAGAAGCAGGCTCCATGCCAAGCAGGGAGCCCCATGCGGGGCTCGATCCCAGGACCCTGAGATCATGACCTGAGCCGAAGGCAGACACTCAACCATCTGAGCCACCAAGGTGCCCCTCTATTCTGGTTTCTTAAGTCTTTGGAGATCCTGCCACAACACAAGCCCCCCTTCCCTCCTCTCCTTAGACTTTTCACTATGAGCCTCTCTCTAGCGGGAGGAAGAGCACATTCAGTGGCAGCCGGCGGTTACTGGGGGCTGGTCAAGCACTGTGCCCATGATGAACAAGACTGAATTTGGCCCTTTGAGAGCAGGACAAGGTTTCTCCGTAACATGCCTCCCTATAAACCTGCCGACCGAGCGATCTCAGAGGTCCCCATGGGTGGTCACTCTAGTGCACTCTGGGCAGAAGAGGCAGTCAGAGACAGGACACATCCCAAACTTGTGACAGCAACTGGAGAAAGGGAAGCGTGGGAGTAAAGTCATGAAAGAGGGCTAGAAATACAAAAAAGTGGCAAAACTGGGCATAGCGACCTCATCGAGTCAATTGGCAGGAGGCTGGGGACAGGACTCCGGTTCTCACTTTCACCCGGCTTCCTTCCTTATGCAGCTGTCCTTCCTTCTGCAAGGCCCCAGGTTCCTGCCCTGGGTCGTGGGGTTGACTTAAGGGACAGACTCTTCGGAAATTTTAAGATTTAGAAATATTAAGCAGGCAAAGGACTAGATAGGTGAGTGAAAAATTATAGTAAAATGACTTGAGGGAAACTGTACCTCTTATGTTCTTAAAATATCCAAAGATGATAATACATAGTATAATACAATAAAATTGAAAATTGTGTAAAGCAATCACATATTATGTAATTTGGTAAATTTGGCCACCTCTCATATGTAAAACAAAATCATTTGAAGAAACACTAACAATCTGAATGCACCCCATTTGTATAGTGGGACCAACACTTTAGGCCACATTAGTCTGTCTCCAAAGCTGATGCTTTTACCTGCTGCTGGGCAAAAACACTGGGCTTCCGCCATAGTCCGGAAGGTGGCACAGTGACATTCATGATCCTAACAAATGCTTGATCAATGAATAAGTGGATGAATACTCAAGTGTAGCCAAAATCTCTCATTATCAGGAAGGTGACCTCATGCCGATCCCTTGCCTATTTCAAACATTCTGCTTCAGAACTACACAGAGAAACGCTGCAGAGATTAACCTTTTCTCTTAACCAACTGAGCCACCCAGGCGCCCCTAGATGAGTTTCAATAGTCAAAGAGAACACTTCAGTAAAATCTATAAAAAGCATTCTTATATTTAGTTGAAACCTGTTTCAACATCATTGAAAACTGGTAAATACACCAGGGCAATCATCAAGCCAATGTGAATTAATTATCATTTACTGCCAGTCATGAATCCAGTACTTTCTCATACACATCCACAGATTTATTTCTCCTATCAGTCATATGAAGGAAGGCGCTATCCTCGTTTTATACACATAGAAAGGGAAAAAAGAAATGGCATTTGAACCCACCTCATCTTCCACTTCTCAGTCATTGCACCGCACCGCATTTTTAATGACAAGAATTTTGTACAAGAAGACATTATTGATGATGAAAGAAGTAACATAACAGCTTTATTTTGAGATATTACATAACATAGCTCAAAGTTATCAGTTCTAATTTAACTAAACTGTCATTCATATTCAGCCCGGCATCAGGAACATGGTAAATGAGTAAATGTGTACTCTGAGTGGCAGTGACTTACAAATTTGGTGAGTTTCATTTTGAATATGTCTACCTTGTACAGTCAGTGGACAGGCAACAAAAGGAACCGATATCACCAGGAAGGTTCACAGTCGACCCTTACCGCTCTGCTGCTTTCTCTCACTGTATGAGCTCTGTGCCTGCCAAACCCACTGACGTTTGTGTTCTAATGTGTGAGGACAGGATGGGAAAGGGAGAACCAAAGTGGAAAAAGCATGTGTGTGTAGCCTTTGAGGTTTGGTGGGTGTGATATCTAGAGAGAAGATAAAGAGAAGGTCTTAACTACAGCTACGGGGTATGAGAGCTGAAGAAGTGAGAGGAAATCCTATAAAATATCGCTATGAATTATAAATCGGATCCTTCTCTTGTTCTCCAAAATTTACAACTAAAGGATCAGGTTGGATGTTCTTTAACTATTAATAATTCTGTTTCTTTGGTCATGTTACAGTTCAAATTAGGTCAAATGCAATCTTCCTTATATGTCAGCTATAGATAAACTGTGCCTCATATCTCTTTTCATTTAAAGCCAACCTTGGAGGGCTTCTTTTCCGAGATTTTCATTGCTATGGTTTCGCAGGTTTTCCATTTTGAAATCTGCAGTACTTTTCTGTACACAGCTTCTACCCATCTAATTCTATTGACAAAGCTATAAAGTGTTTAGATTTGGTTTTAAGGAATTCCAGAAACTACTTCAGAAAAAATGATCAGAGTGTAGGAGAGGATCCATCAAGAAGGAATCTGAATCAAATAGGTGAAACATAGAAATCAGAATGGGGTCAGAATATTCATATTCTGACCTCCGAGTACAGAAAGCAGAGGATCAAAATTACTGCTTTGGAACTTGAGAAATAGCAGCAACAATGTTCTTCGGATCAATCTCTCTTCTGAATAATTAGCCTGACTGTTCAGCCAGTATTTGCTATTTGAATGCATAAAATAGTATAAACCAAGTGATGCCCTTGAAATTAATGGTTCTTTCACTGTACGTGAAGATCTTGCTTGCCAGAACATTTTGAGTGCTTCATTATTTAAAAAATCAAATCCAATCAAGAAGCTAAGAAATAAAATTTGTACTGTTCCATTTCCTTAATTGATGAAGACTTCCAAGGTAATATCGAAAGAACAGCCCTTTATTCTCAAGGAATTCACATGGCGATCACAGTCATAATCAGACCAGCTTTCTCTCTTAAAGTAGACTTTCAATAACCTATCCAAAGATTTTATTTTAGTACAAACAGTGAAAATAACAGAAGTATTAAAACAAAGATGAATCATGATTGACAGAGGAAAAAATCTAATTACTTAGAAAGTCTATTTTGAGGTACTGGAATTGAAAATAATAACATCTTAGTGACTGAAATGGACATATTGATGTTTTCGAACCATGCTTCGCTAGGATATTTTATGCTTTGTTTTTCAATGATGTCAGGTCTTTGGCTTGGAACTTAAAGGCAGACGTGTTAAACTGTAGTATGTCCTTGCATTACTGTTGTATAACAGTGGTTTAATCTGTCTGCCTATAAAAGCCTTATGTGAAATGAAGTGGCTCATTAATTAATATGTGCAATCCTCTTTTTCACAGCCAGAGTACTGATAGTTAAGAATCCTTCATCTTCCTTTCCCTTTGCTCTTCTCCCCAGATGAAGGCCAGTAAAGGGCAGGGATCCTTCTCTAGCTGACAGGGGCCCGCTCAGTTCCCCTGAGAAGTCAGGTTTGCTGCCTATACGAGGGATCTGCATACAAGCAATACATACAAGCGAAACATACAAGTAATTGAGGACTCTGCCTTTTATTTACATTTTGCGTTTCTGTAGAGCTAATTTAAACGATCAGCCTGCATCTCCCCAGGAAACAAATATTATGGCAAAATAAACTATGTAAAATATTTTTTAAATAAATGATCTGCTTTATCCAGTCAGGAAAGGTGAAAAGTATTATAGGAAGCACAGAGTTTTATATCGTTCATTTATTGAATTCCACTTGTCACTAATAAATAGTGTTTAAAAAAAAAAAAGGCAGATTTGGTCTTAAGATACATTTGCAGTTTGATGTGTACCTAAGCAAAATTTCTAAACTTCTTTCTTCTATCAGCAGATTGGATCTTTGTTTTCTTTCCCCTAAAAGATTTTATAATTTTTACCCTTTATATTGTTACACTCAAACTCTGAAGCTCTCAGTTGCTACTATACAAACTAAACCAAAGTTTGGGCAATGTTAAAAACTAGTGGAAAGAAGTTGAAAAATTTACACTTATAATACTAAATTATCCCCAGTAAGTGATTTTTTTTAATGTTAAAGAAATCATGCTAAGGTAGCAAGAAAAAAAACCTCTAAAAAGCCTATTTGAGGGCAGTTTGTAAAATACTATTTTCTCTATTTAACAAAAATATCAGTTTATCAGAAATGCACTAGAAGTTGTTTTTTCATTCATTTTCAACTATGTATTAATGCGGTATTTACTGAAGTTGGGAGATTCTACTTAATAATCATATCTATTTGAGATTTTTAAAAACTAATCCAGTGATCCATTTTCGTGATGAAATTTTTAAAATAAGTAACACTAATGGGAATAATGGCAAGAGGGCATCATTACAAATGCAATAAGCAATTGATTCTTTTGCAGTTTTTTTCTCAATAGAAAACCCTCAAATTAAGTCAGATAAAGATCAGATACCGAGAAGAAAACATAGCTGTTGAACCTGTTGCAGAGTGAAATGGTCATTTCATAAACACCTATTTTATATTATGATCTGAAATGTATTTATTGATAGATGCCAATAAATTAAAGGAATTAAATTAGTTCTCCTGCCTTTTATAAACCTTATGTTAATCTGAAATTACATATCCATATCAGAGATGTGTAAACTCAGAGATGATTAAAATTGTTTCATTCTTTTTTTGTTTTCCATTCACAGAAAATGATGACTATCTGAATGGCTTAGTAACCAGATTAGAAAATGCAGATGTTAGAAATGAGGATCTCCTGAGAGCTTTGAATGACACTTTGGGGAAGCTGTCTGCCATTCCAAATGGTAAGCATTTGGGACACTACAAACTGTGTCAGTTGACCTGAACTATTAAAGAATGTTCTAACATTTACCATCTTTTCTGACATTACACTTGGACTGTTGTCAGAAAATTAGATATTGGTTTTCTTACTTATGAATTTTTCTTTGTGAGAATGAGAAACTAAGCCATACTTTACCCTGTGATATTTCTTATGCTTTGTTACCCTAGCTGATATCCATTGGTATATGTTGCAAAAAGGAAAATATAGCCATCTTATTATTATACTGTTCTTCCATGTGTCAGCCCATAAAATCTTTCTAATAAGATTATTAGAAATGATATTGTTTGTAATCTCATGTTAATGGGAAAATATGAAATCACATGGGTACTGTTCTCTAAAATGTTCTGCTACAAAGTCACAGGTGATTATAATACCTACATGACAGATGAGAGCCTTTCCCCACATCATTCTTTACTTCTTTTTTTTTTTTTGAGTATAGTTGATACACAGTGTTACATTATTTTCAAGTGTTCAACATAGTGATTCAATGAGTCTATAGGTTATGCTATACTCAGAAGTGTAGCTCCCATCTGTCCTGATACAACACGATTACAGGATCATTGGCTATATTCTTTATGCTGTGTATTTATTTCTATGACATATTCATTCCATAACTGGAAGCCTGTATCTCCCGACCCCCTTCACCCATCCTGCCCCTCCCCCCAACAGCCCTCCCCTCTGGCAACAGTCAGCACATCTTTCTTGGCAAAGTTCAGTTCCTTAAGTGTTTCAGCTTCGAAAACATTAATGTCTGAACCGTGTCTGTAATATCTTCCTACCTATTATAAGTACTTGAAGTTATTGTTTGGTATTAGTTCCTGAAAGCACTATCCTTTATATTTTAATAATGTGATACAATAATAACAAAGTCTGCTAATGTTTATTGAGTGCTTACTCAATATGCTTGTTAAGTGTGTGTAATCCTCACAGTAATCCTACAAAATTAATAGAGTTATCCCCACTTTACAGGGGACAAACTGAGACACAGTATCATGCTAAGGGAAATAAATCAGAGAAAGACAAATCCCATATGATTTCACTCATATGTGGAATTTAAGAAATGAAACAGAATGCTGAAGGTCATTGTTGAAAGTGGTGTGTATGAGATTTGAACCCCACAGTTTAACTTTGGAGCCCGTGGCCTTAACGAGTCATCTACACATACTAGTAGGCATCTATATGTTCAGTATATGTTTTTTATACAAATTATGATCAGGGGAACTAATGCATACATTTATAAAACACAGGAAATAGTAATGATTTTTACTCTTTTTCAACATTAAAAAAAAAAAAACTAACCGTCCAGGATTGCTTGTCATCTCCTTCAATAGTAAGGGCGTACATAGAAAGTTTCCAATGCTGAAAACAAATATAAGTACATAAACACAAGGTCTAAAATACCTGAGAGAGTCTCTCCATCTTTAAGTTGAAGTACATTCATTCATCATTCCCCCTTCGGAATGTGCAGATTAAATCTTAAACCTAGTTTTGATGAAACTATGACTTGTGGATAAATTTCTCTCCGTAATATGTTCGGCAGCAAATCACAATATACCCTTATACAATGAACATTTAGAATAATCACTTTGCTATCTTAAGAGCTAATCAGGTATTCATAGCAAAGGTCCCTGAGAAAATTTAATTTAGCTAAAAATTTACTTCATTTGCTCCAACCAAATGAGGCAGAGTTCAGCCTTTCCCTTTGTGCATGTGCCCCTGAGGTGGGCTGGCTGCAGCCTCCCTTTGACAGGCGTGGTGCGAGCCCCTAACTCTAGACCCTTTGCTTCGTCCCTCACACGCTCTCCTGCCAACAGACACAGCCGCTAAACTGCAAGTCGTTAAGGACAAAGCAAGACAAGCCAATGACACAGCAAAAGATGTACTGGCACAGATTAAAGATCTCCACCAGAACCTTGATGGCCTGAAGAAAAATTACAATCAACTAGCAGACAGCGTAGCCAAAACAAATGCTGTGGTAAAAGATCCTTCGAAGAACAGTAAGATCTCCTTTTTCCTTTGATTATGTCATGTGTTTCTTCACACTATAAAAGGACCCTAGACTCCTAACTTGTAGAGGTGGAGGAGACCCCACAGCGATGTTGTCTGCTCTCCTCATACACTGGGCTCAGGAATCGAGTGGCTAGAATCCAAGTCCCCAGGCTCTGCACTAGTGCTTTCTTCATCCACATTTTGTCCAGTCAAGAGGGTATTCAGAATTATCAAAATCTGCATGATTTTTGATATAGGGATGCCAAATACTTTTTTAATCCTTCAGGGTAATTGAAAATACAGTTGTACTTGGGGAATTACATCATCTGAGTTGGTGAAGTTCTATGGAACATAGAGGTCAAGGAGCATACTTACCAGCAGGCCTGTTAGAACAGGATATTAAAATGGTATCAACCTGAAATGCATTAAAATTCAAAAATATTAATATTTTATTATTTAAATTTACATAAATTATTTAACTATTTTCAGGAAGTTAAAGTATCTAGTTTATCAATATTTCTTCACAACGTTTGTGTATTACATTAAATTATAGCAAGTTAATAAGGATTTACTGAGAAAATATGGTAGAACTTAATATAATGATAATTTAAATTATAAACTGTAGTCAATAAACATTATGATTTTTTATAGTCTTTTTTCCATTCTTTGAAGTGATGCAACATTGTCTTAGTATGTGATTTCACCAAAGGAGAGACTTGATTTTTTTTTGTACTTGTCACTCTGAAGAGACTAGCCCTCTATTTATATACCAACATTTCCATTGGGTATCCAAATGTTGGTAGCGTGTAATAACAGAAACACTGTTATAGACGTTAGGTGTTCTATAATTCAGGTGCTGATTTTTCAGCACCATTGCCTCAAATCAAATGCTAATGATGCTACAAAATAGTAAATGCTACTACCATGATTCCTTAAAGAGCAAGGAAGAGTGCAAACATATATAACGTGGATTTCAGAGCTAGGGAGGATTTATAATTTGCTATTTCTTAAAAAAAGAAAAAGAGGCCATACAATCATTTTTTTCATTTTTTCTTATATAAGCCCAGAGATAGCTGTTCTCTGTAGTTCAAAGATTCCATCCGAATAAATGGTACCAATGCATGCCAGATCACAATATCTCCCTCCCCACAAGTGAAAATAAGTTTTAAAGTCATTCTCTTATTTTATAATTGAAGATATTATTTCATTCAATTTCAGATTGATTCTCAGACAGTGGCCTCTGCATAATATTTATCTCTAACCTTTTGATCCTACCCTCTATCTAGAGATAGTTACCTGTAATATTAATTCAACTGGGTCTGTTTTCTATCTTATTAGAACATCATAATAAAGTTTCTTTCAATATGAACAATAGCCTGCTAACTGACATGTGTTCGTGGATTTTTATTTGATCACACTTGTTTGACTTAAAATAAGGTGCATTTGTAATTAGTACCTGTTGTGAAAAGTACCATTTTTTTGATAATCACTGCTTTATAAAATCTATAAAAATATTTCCTCATGAATTTTCTAATTTCTTTTTGTTTTGCTTCCATATGAAACTACCTGAAGAAATCAGTATGTATATGCTTACTTGCATACTTTTCAGTAACTTTTGCTTGACTGCCTATTGCAAATGCTTCAGCTTTGCATGTTACCATGTTTTGGTATTGCTTTAACCTTATATAGCTATTCTTTCCAGTGTCACAGTATTAATATTAGATATATTAAAAAAAGACATCTGTTTTTACAAAAAGTTAGCACGTGGATGTATTTGATATAAAATGCTTTCAATTGTATTATAGAAATTAGTGAAATACCTGTATGATACCAACAGAAAAGTAGAAAACAGAATTCTTCCACAGATTGAACTAAATTGTAATTCGTCCAATAAGACAGATTCAGCCACTGAAGTTCAAACAACTTCTTTGCAGTAGGATTAAAATAGATTAAGTGTTGTTATCATCACTTCTCTCCCCCGATGCTCACTTTCCCCCATCCTTATGAATAATTATTCTCAACTTCTAGAGAATTCTACTTGGAGAAGCACATAATAAAACTAATAAAATTAGATCTTATCAAATGAGCAATTATTGGGATATATTCTCTCTTAAACATCTCATAGTTTAAATTCAAAGTCAAAAATAAAATTGCAGAATGGAAAATAATAATAGTAAAATCCAGCATATCGAAACCTGAAAAATATGACCAAGGCTGTCTTCAGTGGAGAATGGGGGTGATTACATTACTAAAGCAGCACTGAAATAAACAATTTAGGTTATCAACCCTATAAGTTAGACAAAATAAAACTAAAGAAGATGAAAAAAATGGTGAATTAGAAGACAGAAAATAATACACTTGATAAATCCAAGAGGTGAATCCTTAGGAGTGTAAAGATAAAACATTTTAAATACTTGGCAGGCTTACTCGAGAATAATAAAGCGCAGATAGGCAAAGTTCTAAAGGAGCTTTAACTAGATACGGCGGGGGAAACTTTTAACACGTAAGAGAGTACTTGTCAAAACTCTATGCTAATGAATTTTAGAGCCTAAAAGAGATCGATAATTTTCTAGAAAAACATTGAATTATCATAATCTATCTTCAAAAGTGATTTTAAAATGTATACACTCAAATAATTATAGAAGAAAGTCACAAATTTTTAAAAATTACTATATAAAAAATTATCAGACTCAATATCACAGAGGTTTTATTTTTAAAACCGTCAAGAAGATAATTTCCAAAAGACTTCAACTGCTCCAGAAGATAGAAGGGGGAAAAAAAAAAATGAGGGAGGTGGGGAACCTTTGGATTTCATTTGGAAACATTTGATAAGAATCTGAGAGCTTTCAAAGGAAAGAATGCATTCTTGGTTGAAGCTGAAATAGTCTTTGCTTTACTCTTTTTCTTTTTCCCATGAGTCTAAATTAAATCATTTTTTCTCAATTCCAGAATAATTTATAGAATATCAGGGTAATATTGGGGAATTAAAGGAAGGAAAAAATGGACAAATGGTTTTTTAAAAGTATACAAAACAAAGGGGTAACTGTGTCTGTGTTGAATATACAATTATGTAACCAGGGCTTTGACCCCAGTAACCTGCATTTCAGGCTTTGATCTAGCAACTCTGTTACTTAAATTTAATAATAGACTTATGTCCTTTTTAAACATCACTTACAATATTGTTCATATTTATGAGCATGAGTTCAAAATAATTCAAAGCCTAGTTTAAAAATAATAATTTCTGGGGCTCCTGGGTGGGTCAGTCAGTTAAGCAACTGGCTCTTGATTTTGGCTCAGGTCATGATCTCAGGTTCGTGAGATCGAGTCCTGCCTCAGGCTCCGCTCTGTGCATGGAGCCTGCTTAAGAGTCTCTCTCTCCCTTTCATGCTACCTGTGTGTGTGTGCGTGTGTGTGCCCCGCCACTCTCTCTCTCAAAAAATAAAAAATAAATAAATAAATATGCTTAAAAATTTAAAAATAATCATGTCCTTCCTTTTGAGCACCTTTGATTCATTCCCGAGATTAGTTCTCAGTGGTCCATTGGCCACCAGAGAGCCAATCATTCATAGCTGAGCAGGGCACACAGCCTTGGTCCTTAAGCAGTTTTACTTTTTTATCAGAGTCACAGTGACAGAAAGCAGAGGAATACATGCTCAATCAGATAATGAACGGCAAGGTTTGGGTAAGACGGCTGGCATCCTCGAGATAGAGTCATTGGTTTCCATGTGTCATTTGCCCTCCTGTGAAAAGCACATGCTGAAAGTCTATGGATCAGTGATAACTTTCAATTATTTGGGGGTTAAACCCCTTTTGAAATTGTTGATATTCAACCTTTTTTGGAACCTATAAAAATGGCCATTTAATATGGTTCAACCTAATATAGAGATTAGGATAATCAGTTATTCTTCAAAATGAAAATGAACTACAGCATAAAAGATTTAAAGTTTAATGTAGGCCTTCAGTCTAAGGGTTGGTCAACACTGAAATGTTTTCAGAAGACATTTTGATAGCTTCTCTCTTTAAGACGTACAAAGAGCATGAGAAAAAGAAAGAAAACCAATTGGTGTGAGAACCCTGATTTTTTTTTTTTAAAGATTTTATTTATTTGAGAGAGAGAATGAGATAGAGAGCATGAGAGGGGGGAGGGTCAGAGAGAGAGGCAGACTCCCTGCTGAGCAGGGAGCCCGACGTGGGACTCGATCCCGGGACTCCAGGATCACGACCTGAGCCGAAGGCAGTCGCTTAACCAACTGAGCCACCCAGGCGCCCGAGAACCCTGATTTAAATACATTTCTGGCTTGGACAGACGAAGTGACATTTTAAAACACTTTCATTTCCTAGATTCTGTGACTAAAATTCTATAAAGGTTAGCTTTTGGGCTGAAGCTAGAAATTAATCGTCGAATTGAGGTCATCGTATTCTCTACCTTCAACGCTAACTTCCACCTTGATCACAAAGCCAGATGTTGGTCCTCTATCTCTAACACCTCTGCTTTGGCCGGCCTGAGTCCCAGCTGAAATATTCCCATTTGCCACCACACACTGTGCTTCTGCAGTCATCACCCTGCTTTATCATGTGAATAAGATGAAATCCTTCCAATTATTTAATGAAGCCTACTACTGTTTTCATTTCTGTGTGTATGTGTGGTAAGCGCTCATCTTGTCTGATGCAGTTGCAGATGCCAATGCCACTGTGAAAAATCTAGAACAAGAAGCTGATCGTCTGATAGATAGACTCAAACCCATCAAGGAACTTGAGGATAACCTAAAGAAAAACATCTCTGAGATAAAGGAACTGATAAACCAAGCCCGGAAACAGGCTAATTCTGTAAGCTCTTTTTATTTTCAGTGTCAGTAATTGATTGTCATTTTGGGTATTATTCCCAGAGGGAATGCCTTCCCCCAGTGTATCCTGTTGACTAATCACTGGTCATTTTCCTTTAACCTGAAGCAATTTTAGGGGGAGGGGAGGAAAAAAGTTTAGATTTTTTTTCCATAAATTTCAAAAGACATCTCATAGGAAGAATAATCACCATTTATTGTTATAGAAATGGGAATTTTGATATATTTCAACATTGTTTGAATAGAGTAGCACAAAGAGCAAGATGGAAATCTTACTATTGTATGTTTAAAAGGCATGAATGCTTTTGATGAAAGCAAAAAAGGCCAACCAGTAGGGTTGTATCAGCAATGAATGAACAAGGTTATATAGAGTAATAGCAATGAACAACCATTATTTTCTATATTTTTTGTCTGAGTACTACAACTATACAAATTATTTTGGTTACAATTTCTGCAGGGTTTCTTGTTTTTTGTTAATACCTCACTTATATCAAAATTTAGCTCTTTATTAACCCAATTAGAAAACTCTTAGGAGAGAAGAACTTTCTAGAAGATAGTAACCTGGTGAACCAGGGTAGAATTGCTAAGTGCCAATGTGAAACTTTATCTAGACTAGCAAATTCATCCCATGGTGACTTTAGAAATAGAAGAAAAAAAATAACAGTTTATGTTGTCAGGTTTAAACGCAAATCTTTTTAGATCTCCAAGTTTTCCGTCTCGAAAGTTCCATTTTCTGAACAACTTTGAAACTAGAATGACCAGAAATGCCCTTTCTTAATCCATCAACTTATAATTTTTTGAGTAGTGGCCAAGAATATAATGCCCAAAGAGCAGTATATCATTTCTCCTCCTTATACATAGATGATACCTCTAAACAAGGTTAAGACAATAAGTTCAAGGTGCACTTTAAAAAGGAATTCATGCCTAAGGAGAAATTTAGAAAATGATAAAAAAAATTAGTCAAGATGATATACATAAGCTCACAGTGAAAGAGGCAGATAGGGTTGAGAACATCAAGATGATGTACATAAGGTCAAAGTAAAGAAGCAGATAGGGTTGAGAACACATATATTGAGTTACAATCTGAAAACCATGTGGGCAGTATGATGACATAAGATTATTGTATACTTGAAGCACAAAGTGAAAAGAAGTAGATGTTAGTTCAAGGTTTGGGGTTTTAGCTAAGATTTAGCCCAGTAGAAAAAGCATCTCCTATATTCAAGGCAACTTCTACTTATATAGTTTGTAACACCATAGAAGAAATAAGACATGTACATAAATAACTCTAAGGTAATGCCAAATAGTGTGCTACATTGCATGAGCAATGGGAAGTGCTATAAAGTTCTGAAAGAAAAGATCCCCTCTAATAGGGGCCAGAAGATTTCCCAAAGACGAGAATTTGAACTAGGCCTTGAGTGAGGTAGTGCTGGATTTGGATGGGGAGAGTAAGGAAGGAGAGCATTCTGAGAATGAACCAAGGCAGAGAGGAAAGAAAGTTTCAGGATCATTTCAAGAAAGAGTGGTCTAGTTTTCCAGGATTATTGGTCGAGTGAACATTAAACTGGAAAGGTCAATGGAGGCCAGGTCTTGTTAGGCCTTGGATGGCAAAGTAAGCAATTTCGTTTAGCCAGAATTATTCCTGGGATGAATCTTATTGGTAAGGAGAAGCTGAAAGTTCTTGAACATGAAATGTGATATTATCAGAGCTGTGTTTTTTGAATATGAATTTAGAAGTCGTTTGGGGCATAAATGAGAGGAAACTACGAAGAAGACAACTTTAATAAGAGCCCCAACTGTAGCAGGTGGAAGTAGCTAGAGAAAGGGAGAGCTTGAGATACCACTCCTGTTGTTTGCAATATTAATTTTAAAAAGCAATAATAGTAATATTCTCTGGTGAATCACACACTTAGCCATATTTTCTTAGTCATCGTGTGGGGAAATCTGGTCATTTTTATTATTTCTTCTTGTAAAGAAATCTAGAAATATGCCATATATTCATCAGTTGTGAATGCTGCCTCCTACCCCTCCCCCTGCGCAGGGAAAAAGATAAAATTCTGGCATGTTAAGTATATAAAATTGTCTCAAAATACAAAATGAAAGACAGGTTTAAAGAAATGCTACAAAAAGTAACCATTGCCCATGACTTTCAAGGAAATTTTCAATCATTTTTTGAAATGGAAGTTACAACAAAGTGTCTTATTTTTTATAAGATGTTAGAAATATGTAAGCGAGCCAATTTTTTTTTCAAGAGAGTTTTGTACTAATTGAAGATGACATTTGCGTGATTTTATAAATGTATTTGTAACCTGGTATGAGTGTCTGTATGTGGCCCTGACACATACTCAATATGACCAAGAAATTAAAGACATTTCTTTTAAAGTAGCTTTCTTTAGTTTGTTGACTCTGAAATTGAGCAGCTCATACTCTTTTTAAACAAATGACCTAGTTACTGGATGAGAGAAATGCAGTGAAAATCCAATAGATATAATAATGAGATCCTCAATAATGTTTAATTGAGTTCATAATGATTCATTGGTAATGTTGTATGAGGAATGCCTTGGAGATACCTAAGGCTTAGTGATTTTTGTTTAGGAGTCTTACAAAGGGCTCACATTAGAAATAACAATAATTGATAAAACCAAACATTCTAAGAGATGTTTGTGTTTCAGAAATTACTCCCTTCTTATGAGAGGGAAATGTTCTAGCAACTTCTTCTGGAGAAATTTATAAATACTATATTTTGATTTACCTGTTTTAATTTGTTTAAGAAATCTCTACAGTTGGAAATCAAAACACAAGGTATTTTAAAGCAGAGATTAGTAGCTTTGGACTGCTGACCAAGAGTTTGGGCTCCCTGAATTTTTCAGGTACTGAGGGTATATTCAAAACCACAAGCCAGAAAACAGAAAATCCAGAGGGTTTTTCATATAAATGTGTAAGAGTTGAGCAATAGGCTACTTTACAAAATAAGTTAATGGCATTTAGGGCGTCACAACGTCATTTTGTTCAGAGAACCATATTTTTTAGGTATGTAAAGTATGCCAGAAAGTAGATTAATTGTAACTCCTACTGCCATTAAATATCCTTCGTTTTAAAATGGCTACTCTCTTAGCCTTTCAATTCTCAGATAGGATTTCCTCAGTTCAGTTAGGCTTTGGTACTCAGTGCTCTGTCATCTACACTTTGGTAATCCCCTTTTCAACACATCATCATGGAGGTCGCTATCATTTCCACCAGGTGTACCCAAGCAAGGACAGAAACCAATCCTGTGATCAAACAGTCATGTATTTTGCCCACATTCAGTCATTTCTTCTCTAAACAGCAAATAAGGAGGATTATTACATTGTATTCTCTTTTTTTTAAGATTTTATTTATTTATTGGAGAGACAGAGATAGCAACAGAGATAGTGAGAGAGAGCACGAGCAGGGAGGAGAGGGAGAAGCAGGCTCCCCGCTGAGCAGGGAGCCCGATGTGGGGCTCAATCCCAGGACTCTGAGATCATGACCTGAGCCGAAGGCAGATGCTTAACCGACTGAGCCACCCAGGCGCCCCACATTGTATTCTTTAAACAAAAAGAAGTTAGTTGTGATTAAATTAGCCATAATATGGCTCGATGGCCAAGCCTATAAAGCATTTGTGAAATAAGGATAAAACAGACCACACACACAATTCCTTTTGATTACTAATCCAGCCCCACTAGGAACTTGGATATGATTTCCTATAGCTCAATCTGCTGCTCAGCTCCACTCATGAATTCCAGTCAGACCTTGACTTCTTCTCTTTGATCATCTTATGATGTCAATGACGCTTATACCCTGCCTCAGATATTGAATTTACTCAGTGCCAGGGTCTTCTCTGATGATGGTTTCGGTTCACTTGCTAACAATTTCTAAAAACTCACCATATCCTGTACCTTTTCCTGAACATTAAAAACATCTGAAGGCTGCATTTCCCCTACCTGCCCTCCACTGTATTATCTTTCTCTGGCTTTGCTCTGTACTTTTTATCTCTAAGCCCTTGGATAACCCTTTGGCTAGCTGCTAGTCTACCATGTAACACCCTCAGCCAACCTTCACTGCACATGTGCTCTGTAGTGTTAACATCCAGAATACAAGTTGCACATTTCCTGGTTCTGTTTTTCTGCAACTCATTTTGATTCACTGACTCTTGGCACCTTATATAGAAGGAATATCCCATCATTTGTGGAGCAAAGAACTAACTTCCTGATGGAGAACCACACTTACCAGGAAGACAATCTCCCCCAGAATGCAGGGCAAACATTCTGGGTACCAGAGTTGTGGTCTGGGCCCCAACCTTAGGAGGAAGGCAAGGACAAGGAAAACAGTCTAAGCAGTAGACTTTGAGGTTATTCTAGCCCTGGGCCACCACGCAGGGCTCCATTAAGCTGCGCCCCTGTTTCTTTCCAGCATGTGATTCCTCTGCAGAAGATGCAAGTCAGTTAGCAGATGAGGTGACGGAACAATAATATACAAATACTTGCCCTCTGCAGAGTCTGTAGGAAAAGCAACAGATCTGCTATATCCCCAGAAGCTCTCAGACACATCTGAATTTATATATTCATCAGAACCAAAAACCCCTCCGTAGCTTTCTTTTTAAAACTTAACCAGTTTTTCAAAACAGAGGATCATAAAGGGAAGGGAGGGAAAAATAAAACAAGATGAAATCAGAGAGGGAGATAAACCATAAGAGACTCTTAACTATAGGAAACAAACTGAGGGTCGCTGGAGGGAAGGTACGTGGGGAAATGGGGTAACCGGGTGATGGACATTAAGGAGGGCACGTGATGTAACGAGCACTGGGTGTTATATGCAACTGATGAATCACTAAATTCTACCTCTGAAACTAATAATATACTATATGTTAATTAATTGAATTTAAATTCTAAAAAAAGTTTTCACCCAGCACCTATATACACAAGGGTGTATATACCACCCTTGGAGAGGAGTCCTGAGGCTGCCTATACCCATTCCCTAATGAGACTTTTGGAGATGCTTCCTGTGTCACCATAATATGGAGACTGGTGATCTTATTTGGAGTCTGTAGTACCCTTTCATGGGGGGAGCAATAAAGCTAGTTGGTTTTCTCCCAAGTGCAAAAACTATTTGAGTAGCACAAAGTGCTAGAAAATTCACCACTAGTGAGACCCAAGAGGCTTCCTGAAGCTGAGCTTTTAAATCAGCGGCAAAGAAAAGTTTTGCACCTTTCCCTGTCTCTGCTTCCTCCTTTGAGCTCTTTCATGGAGCAAAGCAGCAGCTTCTTTCTGTGTCCAAGCAGCTACATACACTTCCATCCTGAAAATGCCCCTTTGATGGTATACCTGAACCAAAGGAAATTAAATTCCATAATCAACTAGTGTTATTTGTGGCTGAAGAAAGGCTCCCTAAATGTAAGTAAGAATTGATATGAACAGTTTCAGTTCTATTCAGTTCTATTCTTTCTTAGCAATTTATAGTAATTTTTAAAGTACTAGTCAAAAGAAAAAGGAGCTGTTAAATACATTAGTAGGGATAACCATTGAAAATTATTTCCATTTCATTTCCTGGCAACTTAATAAATAGGTATAATTTATTCTCAAATGTATGTCCTGAGTACCATGATTAATATTCTTCGTATTGTTAGAACATCTAGAACAAAATCTATTTGGCCTCTTCCAACTGTAAGAACATGAGAGGGTAGGTAATTTCCTCTTGAAAACGGAAAGAAAAGTGGTGTCCTACTTTAAGTGATACCAAAATCACTGAAATTTGAATTGTAAAATTTCATTAAACAACCTTAATGAAGATCATTATCACTAGCTTCATATAAAATCACCTTTTGAAAATGTCCCCACATTCATAAAGGAGGAAGGTATGAAGGTAAGAATTTGTTAATTGCATGCTCCGAAAAGTAGTAGTGTGCTAACAAGATATGGGGCTGTGAACAGCTCATTGTCAAAACCCTGGTGGGAAGCTGCTCTTCTGTGCCCTCATTAATGAGTATAATGGTGTCTGCATATGGGTATTTAATGATTCTATTTGATGATTAAAAAAAATAACTTCAAAGAAGAGATGATGATGATTTTGTGGTTGTTTGGGAGGTATTTCAAATTTGCCGAGAGATTTAGTCTTGGTTCTTTGTACCTTGTTTTTCTTGAAGATCAAAGTATCTGTGTCTTCCGGAGGTGACTGCATTCGAACATACAAGCCGGAAATCAAGAAAGGAAGCTACAATAATATCATTGTCAACGTAAAGACAGCTGTTGCTGACAACCTCCTTTTTTATCTTGGAAGTGCCAAATTTGTAAGTTTGATGTTCAGCTTCTTCCATCTCCTGGATATGTGAATACGCAGAGGTTAATCCTCATAGTGAGGAAAATGTATAGAATCTAATAACATGGTCCCAAAATTGTGTGATGTAGCCTTTCAGATTTGAAAACCTCTGAATCTTATCTTGCAAAGTTCTGAAGTGTCAAATTAAGTTAGAAGAGAAATGAAATGAAGAAAACTTTTTACAGTATTTAGGCACATCTGCTTTCATTTATGAGTAGACAAGCATTTATTTAGAATTATGTTTTCAGGTCTGACTATTTAAGAAGGAGGACTAAGAGGAATAAAGCTTTATAAAAAAGTCTCCAAGAAATTACAATGAACTTTCATGTTAAATGAAAATGACAAATTGTGTACTTCTTTCCTACCACTGAAAACTCTTTTGACTCATGTTAAATTTACGACTCAAACCGAAAAAACAGAAGTTGATTCTACCAACACTTACCCCTAAAAGTTTTCATTCCTTTTATTTGAACATTTGACTTTGTATGCATGGGAATCTTCCAAAATGAACAACAGACCAGTCATTGCTTAAGTCAATACTTGTCATTCGGTTGAGAAGTTTTAGGTCACCTTGGGTTAAAAAAAATCACAGCTGTCCCCTTAAAAATGTCAGTGTCCTTGGTGAAAACAATAATGGATTATGCATCCAAATAGTTTCTTTTGTCTCTTCTACAAGAACCAGAATGAGAAAAGACTTTTGTTTCAAAGTAGAATTGGTTAAATTAACACATATGCCTCAGCAGTATGGACACTTGTGATGCCTTAAAGATGCAATAATAAAATATGACTTAATCATACCTAATGATAAATCATATCGTTTGGGAATTTTTATTGTGAGACTTCTAATTATTTCACATATCTATAAATAGCACCTGTTGAAAAGAACTCCGTTGGCCTCCTCGGGGTATCTGATATCTGAATCTATTGTTTTTGTGTTTCTCTGAACCAGATTGACTTTCTGGCTATAGAAATGCGGAAAGGCAAAGTAAGCTTCCTCTGGGATGTTGGATCTGGAGTTGGACGTGTAGAGTATCCGGATTTGACTATTGATGACTCTTATTGGTACCGTATTGAGGCATCAAGGTAACTAACTCAATAAAGATTAAGACAGTTAGGGTGCCTGGGTGGCTCAGATGGTTAAGCATCTGCCTTCGGCTCAGGTCATGATCCCAGGGTCCTGGGATCGAGTCCCACATCGGGCTCCCGGCTCAGCGGGGAGCCTGCTTCTCCCTCTGACCCTTGCCCCTCTCATGCTGTTTCTCTCTCGCTCTCTAAAAAAAAAATAAAATAAAATAAATAAATAAAAAAAGATTAAGACAGTTAAATAACAGAATTTGGAAGTAGTTTCCCAGTTTATAAGAAAACTCTTCTTTCCATTTTAAGGAGGTAGCTATGTATGCATGTATACAAATTTTATATATTATACGACCATGTACAGATGTGTTTGAATGGGTGTCTTTGTAGTATCTGTTTGGAAACTACACAATTTCCACGTATTGACCAGAGTGACCCATCCATTTTGGACCGTTCATCTGGTTGTCTCATAGTCATGCTATCATACTCTCAGTCATACTATCTCCCCCGAAGAAGGAGCACTGAGACTGGCCCTCATTATGCACAAGCCAGAGCATGAGGGCTACTGCTGGTGCTTAGCTCCTCTTCTGGTCTACATAGCAGCCTTGCCCCTACAGGCAGGTGCAGTATCTAAATGCTGGCATGAATATATAACATGTCGCATCCGCGCTACTTAAAATGGTAAATAACAGGTTATTGATTCATTCTGTCTGAAGCTTTCATTCCATTAACTTCTAGCAGTGTGTAGATAATGTAGAGAACCCATTCCCGTCCTCAATCCTTTCCCCTCATTTCCTTCTCTTCTTTACCTAATTCTCCACACCTACGAAACCCAAAGCAGCTAACAGTTGAGAGGTATAGTTAAGGGCCTGGGTCTAGAGATGGGTAAAGCACTTGTTGAATATAGATGATGGGTACAGAGAGTTTCACTCTGTGTTTGTATATGCTTACATTTTTTCATAATAAAAGCTTAAAACTTAATGAGAAGCAATATTTTCAGTTCCTTTTTAAGATCTTCAGTAAAGGAATGTGAGTGTGTGTGTGTGAGTATGTGTGTGTGTGTGTGTGAATGTGTGTGAGTGTGTGTGTGTGTGTGTGTGTAGCGAGAGAAAGCAGCAGACAACATGCTTCCATGCCTGAGAGTAGGGGAGGGATTAAGTACTTTCATGACTTTAAGAACATTTATATTCACAAAGGTCAAGTCGTTGATCAAAAGAGATACATTCTGGTAAGATGAGGAAGAACCTTATTTGATAAATTCATTCTATTGTTTCCATGTGCTTCAGTTAATGCTGCACCATCAGAGATAAAAAGATTACCTAAATGAGACAGCAGGGAGAGACAGAGACCCTCAAGTTTTGTTATGACTTCTTGTCTCAGAAGAGAGATCAGTTTTTCATATTTAACAATTCATAGACATCAATCACTTAAGAAAATGAAATGAAATAATAATAGCTTCCAAAATTCCATTCATTGAATTTAAAAGTGCAGTTCTTCTATACACTTTGTATACACGACTCTGAAGATGAGATATTACACTATATATATTGAGATGGGATGCCTAACAATAAAAGACGCACAATTCCAGGAAGACTACTTCAGCAAATTTGGAGCCAAGATATAACAAGGGATTTTAAGAGAAATGATGCAGCTTATAATGCAGAAGGGTGGCTCATTTGGGGTTCACTTGCTGAATTAAATTAGACAAAATGCTAAACGAAGTAGTATCAACTCGTTTAAATAGCATGTGCTGGTAAACAGTAAATTGTTTTGTAAGGCAATGGGAAAAAGGCTTTCCGTTTAAGCAGGGGCAGTGCCATCTGCTGAATCCTGCTGTGTCATTTCACCTCGACTCTCACGTGTAGAGTCAGGGCATGTTGCTCACTGGTCCTGGCCACGTCTGCCAGTAAACAGCCAGCAAAGATCAGACTCTTGGTCTTGATTTGCAACTTAATGAATCCAGATCTTTTGAAGCTAAGCACTCAGTTATCTCTTAAATACTCTAAAACAAGCCCCTACATTTCATACCCTTTAAAACTAAAGTTATTATAAATGTGATACATATTTTATGTTCTGCATTTTCTTTCATTTCATTTCAACACGCACCCCTCAAGAACTGGGAGGAATGGGACCATTTCTGTGAGAGCCCTGGATGGACCCAAAGCCAGCATTGTGCCCAGTACCTACCACGCAGCTTCTCCTCCAGGGTATACTATTCTCGATGTGGACGCAAACGCAATGCTGTTCGTTGGTGGCTTGACTGGGAAACTGAAGGTAGTGTGTTCTTTCCCATGCTGTTTATTTCATCTCTGCCTATAACTCCTGACATAATTGCTCTGGGGGAAGGCACGCTAAAGCTCTGCAAAAATTCAGTGACTTTTTACTTAATTTGTTTATGAAAACATACATTTCTTTTGAGTAAGAATTTTTTTCTTCTGTGAATATCCAGTCTGGAAACACAATGTTTTTAAGCCTGTGTGTATTTACTTAAACACTTGTTTTGCCCTTATCTGTGGCACCAATTTTTTTACAGTCTTGTTTTAGTTCCCTCAAGAGCAAAGTGTTTTTTAAATATACCCCATTTTCTGAATCAGTTTATGATTTATTGATATGAAGTGCTATAAAGTTCAAGCTCACATCTAATTAAAAGATTTATGAATACCTTGGGAAATATCACAGAAGCCATAAGCTTTCAAATCATGGTCTGATTTTTAAAGTTTTCAAGTTGCTCTTCTCTCCATTCTTCTAGAGCAATGCACTTAATATTCATAATTGCTTCATGACAGGTCCTTGTGCATTTCAAATTTCTGAGTGCCTGCATTCTAAAGAAGCTCATGTTGATTAAATGAAATTAGGTGTTGGAAAATGACCTGTAGGTGAGATGCGAGAGCACAACCAAATACGATGGATAATCCTGGGCTTGTCAGAATCATCCTGGGATGAGATTAGTCAGAAAATGTGAAAAGCCAGGGTGACCCCAAATTTATGAGAACTCAGCTTTCATATAGAGTGAGGTTGTTTTATTTGCTTTGTGTATGAGATGTGACTCTAAAGTATTGGAATTGATTCTACAACTACACACTAAAACCATCCTCACTTCTTAGAACAGCATATAAATATACATGATACATAGTAATATATAGTTATATTGCCAACTTTATCTCTCCTCCCTAGAAAGATAAATATAGGGGTAGCACGGAGTAGTATAAAAACCATGAATCTTGAAATCAAATCCAAGTTGGATTCCCTGTTCTCTCACTTACTAAAATGTGACCTTAGGCAAGTCACTTAGCTCCTTGGGCTTCAGTTTTCCCAACTAGAAAAGGGAGATAAAATATCTGCCTTGTTTGGTAGCACCTGGAGTGCCTCGTTTGAGCATCTGACTCTTGGTTTCAGCTCACGTCATGATCTCAGGGTCCTGGGATGGAGCCCTTGCAACAGCAGGCTCTGTGCTCAGCAGAGTCTGATAGTCCCTCTGCCCCTCCCCCGCTGGTGCGCACTCACGCTCTCTCTCTTTCTCTCTCAAATAAATAAATAAAATCTTTTTTTTTTTAAAGATTTATTTATTCATTTGAGAGAGCGAGAATGAGAGAGAGTACATGAGAGGGGGCAGGGTCAGAGGGAGAAGCAGGCTCCTCGCCGAGCAAGGAGCCTTATGCGGGACTCGATCCCGGGACTCCAGGATCATGACCTGAGCCGAAGGCAGTTGCTTAACCAACTGAGCCACCCAGGCGCCCAATAAATAAAATCTTTTAAAAAAATATATCTACCTTGCTTGCATAGTGAAGGATACAATAATAAACTTTTGTAACATATTATAACCCTATGATAGGCTAAGTCGTATTATAAGTAATTTACATGAATTAACGTACAACCCCAAAAGGTAGATAATATCCTCCTCATTTTATAGTTAAGGAATCTGAGTCGGAGAGGAGTTAAATGACTTGACCAAGGTCACACAGCAGTTAGTGGCAGAGCTGGGATTTGAACAGTTTATCAGGCACAAAAGCCTCCACTCTTAGTCACCACGTTTCACTGCCACTGTGAGTAGTGAGAGATTATGTGCATAAAATTTACAACAAGTGCCTAAAACGTGGTAGTCACACATGAAATCGCATCTTAAATAGTTCTTATTATTATTCAGATGTCACCAGACGTAAAGAAACTCTCTTATGCCAGTCTCAAGGTAAAAGAAAACAGACGACTGAAATCTACAGAAAATCTTAACCATTTTGGCCAAGAGTTTCAAGGCTCCTGCTACATCAGAATATGAACCAAAAGCTGAAAACAAGTAACTGAACCAACATGCTGATGAAAATTCAAAGGAGCAGGAAAATATCCCTAGTCTAGTTTTTAGGATGCAAGAAGGAAAAGCAAAAAGGCAGTAGAATCCACAAGTAGGATAATCAACCTCCAGAAAATCAAGGGAGACTCCAACTGATAACGGAGAATTCCAAGGGCCGTGCTGACTTGTAAATGTCAGTGGCTGGGACACACAATCTTCCTACAAGGCAGCGCAGCCCTTGGACACAGCAATAGAAAGAAGCACATGTTGAGTTTAAATTGTAACTATAAACATTTAGCTATTCAGGGATCATCTTCCTATATTTGTTCTAGAACCCAACAGGTCAATTCATTTTTTTTAACCCTAGATTACTCAGGTAATTGTGGGGAAGCCTTTGGCAAAGTGTTTCTAAAGTTACAGGTACCGGAATATAGAATTTATCTACAATGTGTCAGTGCCAAAAGAAATAGTTGTTTAAATTAGAGCAAGTTTCTCTAGAGTGGACCAGGTCATTCCCCTCCTTCATGATTGTGTTATATCTCAAGCTTAAGACCTTTCCCTGTGAAAATGACACCAGCGTTGTCATTCAACAAATATTTACTGATCCCTAATAGGCCCTGGGCTGTGTATACCAGCAGACAATCACAATATGGTCCCTTCTCCCACAAATTCACTGTTGCCCTTCATTCTCCTGCGGTGGAAACCTGCTTGGGGGTATAAGAGGAAATGAAAAGTTGGGGACAGCACTATCATTAAGTGATCTCTATGTAAGCTTTTTTCCCTCTGTGTAGTCAGTATGCACCCCTTCTCAAGATCTTTGGAGAGATGTCTCTTCAGTGGCGTACGAACACTAACATTAATTAATTAAATAGCTCCTCTGCGCCAAGCACTGACTGTGGTACCATAAATAAATTACCCATTTTAATTCTAATGATCCCAACCCAGAGACAAGGAAATAGAATCTCAAAGTGGATAAGCAGCTCACCTGAAGTCGGAAGCTAGAAAGTGTTCATTTACTAGTGGTGATAAACTGGTGTAGTCCATAAATAACCAGGATCTGTGAGGATATAATATGGTTAAAAGATGAATAAGTGCAAACCAAGAGTATCAGAAAGAGCGGATAATAACTACTCCAGTAACTAGTAACTGCTAGTAACTCTCCTGGGTGCTCTAAGACTTCTTGTGAAATTCTAAATTCTAACAAATATTATGTTTCTCTCTGCAGAAGGCCGATGCCGTGCGCGTGATTACATTCACGGGCTGTATGGGAGAAACCTACTTTGACAGCAAACCTATAGGGTTGTGGAATTTCCGAGAAAAAGAAGGTGACTGCAAAGGATGTACTGTCAGGTGAGTTGAGATGAGGACTCCCCTAAGGTCTGGCCTATGCCTCACAAAAACTTTAATTTTGTTGTGCAATATTCGATTATCGTGTGGATGATATGGAGCAGGTTAGACAGGATTGTGTCCGGGGGTGATTTTCCATGATAAAAGTTCAGATGCTTTCACCCATTTGTACGAGTACTTTCCAAGGCTCTGGGAGGTGCCCTGGCAGTGCTTCGAATGTATTTGTAAAATCTTCAAGGAAAGGTATTTTCTCCTCGATCAGTTGAGACTACTATCTCTTTCCACTCCAACTTCCCTCCCTGTCCAGAACCAGGAGGTTTTTCATGTCTGTAGCTCCGCTGTCATCATAATTTCTTTCTTTTCTTAAAGAGAGTTTTCCCTGAACTGATCAAACTTCAGGTGTCACTCCACTTACGTTTATAACAAAATACAGAATGCTAGTGCAAGTGTTATCTCCGACCGGATTTTCCACATGACACTTAGGGTCCTGGCAGTGTTTCAAGTGGAGACCCATTGGACTTGAAGATTCTGCTTAAGTGGAGAAGGATAAGAAGGGGCCAAAATAGGCCGGGAGAAAGTGCCATAACGCACATCATCAATTACTACATAGAGGTTAGAGTGTAGGAATCTAAAAATATTTAACAAGCAGACAGAGCACAGATAGAGAATAAATATTCTTATACAAACCTGAAGAGAGGATATAAAACAATTAGCTAGAAGGGCAGGATTTCCCAGCATAAGAAACTTGAGCCCAGCTCATCAATTGAGCCTATTAAAACTATAAAATTTAAATTAAATACCTGGATGCTTAACATACACACATAGCAACTCCAAATCATTAGGTGCTAAGTGGTTCATATTTTTTATTTCCAATTTTAAAGAGCACATGCACGTTGCCAGGGCCCCAAATTCCCATCAGTGTAGCAGAGTGCACTTTACTTCCAGTTTAACTTCCAACTCTTTATTTCTGTCATCGTGGACTTGTCAATGCAGCGTTGAAGACAGTTTAAAAGCCTAACCCATTCATAGTTTAGATTGGTTTGGTGAATACTCTTCAACAAAATCTACTACGGAATGTTTTCTGTAAAATGTTTTCAATATGACAAGGACAATGAGGTTCACGTTAATATTCCTCTACTCACAAATTAATGCCAACTTTTCCCTGAACATTTATTTAGTAAATTTATAAAAAGGATTTTCAAAAGCCTATCATCAACAAAACATCTAAGGATTTAAATGTCCATTCAGCAGTGCATATAATGTGTTAGGACTATAACATGCTAATTATAAATTCTGCAAAGATCTTGAACCTTAGTATCTAAAGTATTATATGAATTAATATAATTATAGTATATATGTGTGTGTGTATACACAACACACACACACACACATACATACACACACATACACACACACACATTTATAGGATGTTTTTCAGGTGCCAGAGATTCACACGTAGAACTTCCTGATACGGAGATGAATACAGTCCAGGGCTAGCCATCAAGTAATTCACAGCCAGAAAGGGAGGAAAAGACAAGCCCTAAAATAATCAAAATGCAAGGGATAATAAAAAATCCCTTTAAAAGAGACACACTCAGAGTATAGTATGATTATTCACAGAGGGTTAGATCTGCTTCCCATAGAGGAGGTGGTATCTGGGGTGGGCCTTGCTGTGGAGTCAGACTCCAGAGAGGAGCTGGCAAACGACGGTAAAGAGCATTCTAGTCCCAGGGACCAGTGAGAGCAAAGGTAGGAAGGCTGGAAGGCCAGAGTGTTTTTAGGAAGGGACAAGTAAAACTGTTCTGCTTCATAAGCGCGAATTTGCTCAGGCAGAATTGGCAAAGGGGACAATGACGTAAGTAGGTGCCAAAGTCAGGTAGGTTCCTACACAGTTCTTCCCAGTGTGTAAAGGTTTTGCACCACTAAGTAAAGGCAGCTGAATGTAAAGTCTACCAGCATAGCTGAGTTTACCAAGCTCAAGCCTACACACAGTGCCTCTTCACCCACAAACTTGCCCTTGGTTTGGCCAAGCACTCTGTCTTGGAAGTTGATCGCTCAGTTCCTGCCCAATCATTGTGCGTTTTTACCACCTCTATCACTCAGCATGTCAACCCTTCCGTAAGCTCTTTGCCATCAAGTTACCTTTACCTATACCTTTGAAGGTAAAGTTCCATATTTACTGAAAAAATTCTTCAATTTAAATTTTATAGCATACCTTTTTGAATTATGCTAATATTTCGATCAAGATTGTGATTGTTTCTGTGAGTGCCCTGACTATAAAGTTGCATAAGTTTTGAGTGACCTGCACCAACCCTATCTTCCCATAAGCCTTAGTGTGTATGTGTAGGAATAATTTTTACAGAACTCCTGGTGTTTGTTGTGTTCAAGAGAATACATATCACATTTTAACATAAAGACCCATCATTCAGTTTTAGAGCAAAAATGATTATATGTGGGAGATGTAAAAGATGAGGCTATAGGACATAGACTAAGAACATGTTGTCGATCTTAGAATGTCCGTTTTAGAAATTTGCATTTATTCAGTAATCAGGAAAAAGGATATAATTGTTGTTATACTTTAAAAAGAGTTATCTGCCAGGACTATAAGAGAAGAACTATATCTTATTTTTCTTAAACTTCTAAAACTCACATTAAAATTAAAATAGAAAAAAAAACTGCTAAGTTTAATGTATTTAGCTCAACACTGAAACAATGATGAAATGTTAACATACTAAATAAACCCCAATATACATCTAGTTCTATAGTTAACAAGTTACATGTGGAAGAACATGGCTGTTCCAAATAACATAATTAATCCTTAATAACTTGACCAGACATCAAGGTTCAAAAGAGAAACAAGAGGCAAGTTAAGGAGCTTAGCAAGTGTTAATTATAAAAAAAAAAATAGTTACTTTTCCTGGTAAATGTATTCAAACATGAATAAGAACACTCTAATGTTAGATGTTGAGATATTATAGACTACGCCTGGAAGGACTCATTTTTTTCCCTATCTCAAACTCACCAAGTTAAAACCAGACTTACCTGGGTTTGGCCAATGAGTTAAGGGAAGTAGGCTGATCTACATCTGTGTGTTTAGCTGTTCTCAGCACAAAACCCTTCCCTGCAGATTTGCCTTTTGCTTGAATATGAGAATTTTCTAAAGGGCTGGAGTATGAATAGACCATAGAAATCATTCACTGATCTAACCCTTTTATCTCAAGGTGACACCCAAAGTGTTAGGTGACTTGCTGCAGGATCTCAGTGAGATTCCACATCAGACTCCAGGGTACCTGCCATCGACTCAGCTATTTCTTTTTTTCACCTTGAAGGAGTTAATAGATTAAGGGCATAAGGACATCAGGTTATAAATATCCCAGAGTTCTTATACAAAAAAAAAAAAAAAGTGATGTTTTGTATTCCAATACTTGTTCTGTGCAGTGAGATTTTGTGTGTGTTTGTTTGTTTAAATTATAAATAACAGTGCATTGTGTTAAAACATCCAGAAAACTGTCAACAGTGACTCCCACAACCCTTTCCAGGGTCGTCAATGATAGTGTGACAGCATAAAATGCAAAATTCTAGTATTTGAGAACTACAAGGGACTTCTCCTTGTTAGACTGCACACAACATTCTCTTCTTTCTAATGCAGTGATCCGGAAATTAATGAATTTGTCGTAATGATCAAGAAAAGCCAAATCATAGCCAATTTATTCACTATCAATTATACAGTTAATAGTCTGATTTAGTTCCTCAAACTTTCTGTTAGCACTTTGCAGGAATACTGAAAAGTATCTTTTAAGTTTACATTAGAAAAAAAAATTATGACGTCATCTGATCTTATTCCAAATTAGATATAACTTAAAATTACAAGGATCTGACCATGCAAGACACAGAATAAGATTCTTCCCTTCTTTTCTTTTTGCCTTCAGTTTTATTTCTGATCCAGGAACGTAGAGAAAGCCAACTTGTCTAAAATGTGGAACAGTTCTTCCTTCATGAGCCTGTTAATGTTCATACACTGTCATTTTTCTCATTTAGCCAAGATTTCATGCAAATGATATTCTAGGCTCTTGTTATTTTACAATGACATTACTATAATGTTTCTTCATATCTCCTCTCTACCCTCAAGTTAATACAACACTCCAATTTCAGAGATTCAAATATATGCTAACATGCAGATCTTTAAAGTTTTAAAAAGTCTCCACAATTTGAGACTTACTCTGTAATAACATCGTTAAGTAGATTGATTGATAGATGATAGATAACTGCATTTGAAAAAGCAATGTTCTTAAATGTTATTTTTACAAGATTTATCTTAAATATTTCTTAATTATCCAACCAACACTGATTGAACATATAGTCTCCGTGGGGCAATCTGCTATACTAAAATCTCCTTCATTCGACATATGCCCTATTCTGCTCTGGGCCACGTGCCACACTAGGTGCTAAGTTTGTGCCTGACTAGAGCCTGGCCCCTAATCTCTAGCTGGTCTCATAGAGCTTGCAATCTATTAAAGAACAACAGATAACCATGGAGATAAGTAGAGGCATCCTTTATTGTCTTAATCTCATTTGTCCCAGAAAAATCTATTGGACAGCAAGTATTCAGAGAGTGGGGACCTTTATTCCATCATGGGCGTTTTTTTTTTTTTTTCTTGTAACTCTAAGTATGTATCTTTTGACCACCTTCACTCATTGTACCCAACCCCCCCCATTATCTTATGCATATGAGAAATGTAATAAGACATTATCAGTCCATCCAAAACCCCACCTCTTCACACCACTAAGACACAGTTAAATACCAATATAACTATCCACCAAGTATTTCAAGAGAACATAAAGCATTTAAAATATCAGTGACTTAGTTATTGAACGCCAAATAAAGTCCAGGTAAGAAGTGATTGCTACTTGGTCTAGAATGATGGCAGTGGAGATGGAGAAAAATGGAAGGATGGAAGATCTATTTGGGATGGTTCCTGTCCTATAACAGCTCACAATCTAATCTCAGAAGACAATTTGATGTATTGAATACTGATGGACAAAACAGACATTGGTTCATGTGAAATGTCTCTCTTCAGTCCTCAGGTAGAAGATAGTGAAGGGACTATTCAGTTTGATGGAGAAGGGTACGCATTGGTCAGCCGCCCCATTCGCTGGTACCCCAACATCTCAACTGTCATGTTCAAGTTCAGGACATTTTCTTCAAGTGCTCTCCTGATGTACCTTGCCACACGAGACCTGGTAAAGACATGCATGGCTGATCTTCCATGATTAAAAATGTTTGCCTCTTTTCCATAGGATTCCAATACAATTATCAGTTATTGTTAAATTATCAATTATTATTCAAAGGATTCCAGGATGCTGTGTGATAACCAAGAGTAGGTGATACAGATAGTACTTATACAGTTTCATTGATAAATTCAATTACAGTTGCAATTATTATTTATTTTCAGTGCAGCTCCCCATATAATCCTTTATGAGAAGCGCCCAGTAAAGATTCCTCCAGTATGGAATCATGCAGCAGCAGAACTACTCCCTTAGTCTTCTTCTAAAGACCTAAGTTGAAAGGTGGTTCTAAATGTCCTCATTATTTTTTCCAGGTTAATATTTCTTAGTAAATTCTTCCAGGGAACATATCTTTTAGTTGACTTAATATGTTTTCAAAGGAACTTCCTTTATTCTCCTGTCATAAAAGATATGTCCTAGTAATTTGGTTGTGACCATTTACACCATAATGTCACACCCACAAACATTCACAAAATAGTAACACCAATTCTATTTCCAAAATGGATATCATTTACAGATCAACACATTCAGTAACTTAGCCATAAGGCCCTATTATAAACCCCCCACAAAAAAGTGAATACTCATATTTCTCTGTGTATTGAATCACTGGTGTATTTTTACTCTATTAATAGAAAGATTTCATGAGTGTAGAGCTCACTGATGGGCATGTAAAAGTCAGCTATGATCTGGGTTCAGGAATGGCTTCCGTTGTCAGCAATCAAAACCATAATGATGGGAAATGGAAATCCTTCACCCTGTCAAGAATTCAGAAACAAGGTGAGTTTCTATAGTAATAATGCACTGTGAGCCTTAATCATGCTATCCAACACTCCCGTGTACCTCATCATGAGGAGGACCCTGTGTCTGTGATTTTAGGGACTCAGAAATTCCGTGAAAAATGGATCCAGTCATTTCTTTGGCTTAGATTATAGGTGACTTGGGTTACACATGACTGATTGAAGAGCCAAATGGTTCTCTGTCATTTTCTTTGGAAACTGAGAGCTTAATTTGAAAGCATAAAACTGTCTTACAACTTGTAAAATTATATCCTGTACTAGGTTTGAAAAGGTTGTGTGCTTTTCTTTCCATCTTGTTTTACCAAGATGTTGTAGTTACAGTGGCCCACTCGTCGAATTTATAGGGGTGATAGAACACGATGACCAGGTCTTTGCTTTTTAAAAATGCCAAACATTTGTATGTATGCAAGTAAGGAATTGAATGATAATAATGTAACATTTTTATAGTCCAGGAACTCTTTAAAAATATACTCACAAACATTTTTTCATTTGCTGAGATAAGCAGGTATTTTGTTCTGGTGTTAGAGAAAGGGAAACATAGGCTCAAACTTACACATGGTCAAAGACATATGTATGTAAGCTCTCACAACCAAGGCAGAAATCCAAATATGTTAGGTCTTAGCGTGCTGCTACTGTTATTTCAGTATAATTCCCCTAATTCTGTGCACTATAGCACTACCAATATCTGCAAATGAAATTTGATGCTTCTGTTTATAAAATTAAACCTAATTAATTTTGACCATGCCAGTGTGACATTTCATGAGAATTTCAGTTTAACTTTGCACCATCCTTCACTTCCTGCATTTAACAAGTATCTGGCAAACACCCACTAACTATTGTACCAGACCTGAGTGAGGTCTGTCACAAGTCCTTGCCTTCAAGGAACATGCAGTCTACTGGGGAGATAGACAAGTAAATAAATCAATGGTGAGAGGATAGAAAGCGAGTAGCTGCATCAAGATAGGTACAGTAGGCTAGGAATCACAGGAGAGAGATGTTGAAGTCACACCGAGAGGTCAGCTCCCTGAGGCACAAGCGGGAGTTGAGGATTTCACCGGATGGACAGTGCCTTTGGACATTTCAGGGAGGTGAGAGTAGTATGAAAGCCGGGAGGCCTCAGAGAGCATTATCTATCATCGTTCATCATTTTCCAGTTGCTCTTCCTTGGAATGTGGAGGCCTGGAGAAACTCTTCTGTTTGAACAAAAACTGGTTAGCGCTTATATAAGTTGTAGTACTACCTTATACATCGTTCCCACATAAGGGAGGCACATTTGCATGGGAGAGGCTCTGCAGAGTAGTTAAGAAAAATGTTTAACTCCGTTTGACCCAACATTTCCCAAACTTCTATAATCTCCAAAATCTCTCCATTCCTGCTAAACACACTTTGGGAAATGCTTTAGTTCATGCCGAGGAGCGAGAATTTCCTGTCCTTTTCTGGGTCCTTCTAGCCTGATTCAGAATCAAATTGACATGAGACAGATGACCAGGGCAAAATCAGATTTAATTTTGTACAGGCACACACACATGGGAATTCCGAAGATAGGCAAAATGAGGGACACAGGTCTTTCTGAACTAAGAAGAAGGTAGGGGTCTGGGACTTCAAAGGGAAGAATGCAACTTATAGGAAGATAAAAATAACAAAAAGGGTAAATGTTTGGTAAATAAATGTTGCTTGAACCACTCAATGGACAAAGGGGACTTTAATCAAACTTTGCTAAGTTTCTCCCTGTCTGCCATTGTTCACGTATAATGTAGTTATCTCTGGTGATAGTGCTCTTCCTGGGGCAGGTCCTCTACCTAAATTCTTTTTAGGCATTGGTGGGGGAGGTAAAGGGCTCTTGCAGAATCTACTGGGTTTTGATGGCTTTTTTTTTTTCCTCCAAGTTTTTATTTAAATTCCAGCTAGTTAACATACAGTGCAATATGTGTTTCAGGTGTAGAACTTAGTGATTCATCACATCAATACCCAGTGCTCATCACAACAAGTGCTCTCCTTAATAACCATCACCTATTTAACCCCTCCCCACCCCCACTCCCCTCCAGTAACCATCAGATTGTCCTCTATAGCTAAGAGTCTGTTTCTTGGTTTACCTTTTTCCCTGTACCCCCACCCCATGTTCATTTGTTTCTTGAATTCCATGTATGAGTGAAATCATATGGTATTTGTCTTTCTCTGACTGACTCATTTAGCTTAAGCATAATCCTTTCTAGCTCCATCCACGTCATTGCAAATGGTTTTGATTGCTTTTTAACTCAAACTAACCTTCATGTCAGAGTGGTCCATCTTGGGGTAGCCTGCCCTTGGCCCTTATAGTTACTACAAGTAAATCCATAGCCTAACAGGATGAATGTTGGCAAAAAAGTATCAGATGAGGCTAGAGAGATAACAGAGCCAGTTCATAAAAGGCCTTGTGAACTAAGCTAATGAGCTTCAACTTTATCCTAAAAGCTATAGGGAACTACTAAGAGTTTTAATCGAGGATGTGACACCATCAGATTTGTGCTTTAGTAAAGTTTCCTTAGAAAACTTTGGAGGGTAGATTTATGACAATTTCAGTGGCTACTGCAGTCTGCAGTAAACCAAGTGAAGAGTGAGGAGAAGGAAACCATGAGAATGGAGAGGAAAGAGTAGAATTGAAAGATATTAAGCATTTTACAATCAAGGAGCTTTGTGATATATTCAATGTGGAGGATAAATGTTTTAAAAAGGGATGTCAAGAATAATTCCTTTTTTTTCCTTAAATAACAAAAATATTTTAGTGAAATCATATGGTACTGAATATAAAAAAGAATAGGGTTTCTAGAAAAGATGCTGAGTTCTATTTTGGACATATTGTATTAAAAGCACTCTTAATATCTTTAGCAGCCTAGGCAAGCTGTGTAATTGGCAGGCAATCAGCTGCATGTACCTGAGGTTTAGCAGAGCTATAGGAGAGATGGACAGTTTAGAATCATTATCATGCCATTAATAGTTAGAGCTGAATAGGAATGAGAAAAACCAAGCAGTCATTTCTACAGTGAGATGATCCAAAGCCCTGCAGCAAATAGCAGTGTTGAAGGGATATAGTAAAGGTAGACCCCACAAAGGGGGCTGTAAAGAAATAATCACAGAAAGGAGAAATGAGGAAGATAAATTTTCAGAAGATCAAACCAAAAGCAGAGTGACAAATTAGGTTCAAGAATAGTCCAGGCAGGAGATAAATGATGGCTTGAAATAAGAGTTATAGTGGGCTTTGACACTAGGGAAATGCAAAATAAATCCACAAGGTGATACCACCATACAGTTATTACAATGCCAACAGTTAAAAAGGCTGAACATGGGGCACCTGGGTGGCTAAGTCATTAAGTGTCTGCCTTCAGCTCAGGTCATGATCCCAGGGTCCTGGGATCGAGCCCCACATTGGGCTAGACGGGAAGCCTGCTTATCCCTCTCCCACTCCCCCTTGCTTGTGTTCCCTCTCTCTGTGTCAAAAAATAAAATCTTTAAAAAAAAGACTGAACATACCCAGGGCTGGCAAGAATGTGGAGCAACTGGAATTCTTACACTCTGCTGATGAGGGTAGAAAATGTACAGCCACATTGGGAAATAGGTTAGCAGTTTCTTAATAGGTTAAATATGTACGGACTGTATGAACCAGCCATTCCACTCCTAAGCATTCACCCAAGACACATTAAGCATATATCCAAAAAACAAAAAATAACTAAAACAGGTTAATTTATTAACAGGTTAATAGATTGTTGTATATTGTCACAATGGAATACTATTTAGCAATAAAAAAAAATAATGAGCTATTAATATGCACACAAAATGGATGACTAGCAAAATAAATATTCTTAGCCAAAGAAGGCAGACATAAAAGAATACATTTATGTCAAGTATATAAAAAACACAAATGAACCAATAGTCACAGAAAGCAGATAGAGGCTATGGAGAATGGGGTTATGTAGGGAGGCCCAGGAAGGAGGGATGACAAAGAGGCATAAGAAGACTTTTGGGGTGATGGATATGTTTAGTTTTTTGACTGTGGTGATGGTCTCTTGGATGTATACATATCTAAAAACTTGATAAATTGTATACTTTAAACATAAGCAACTTTTACTATGTCACTTATAGTTTGGTAAAACTTTCAAAAAATAGGGTAGATATCAGCGTTATTTAGGAGATGAAATTAGTAGGGCTGTTGACTGATTAATTGTGGAATGGTAGAGGGGACTGAAGTACAGAGAAGATATGCAGATGATGCTGTCTCATCTGTTGAATGTGGATTTCTAGGCAAAAGTCAGGCGCAGGCATATGTATTTCTGAATTGTCAACATATAGTAAATAGATATAAACTGGAGGTCACCTGGATAGCTAAAACCCGAGAAGTGGCCAAATGAAGACACACTGGGGAACAGAGCACTTCAGAAGTGTTCAAAGACATAAGTCACAGAGAAGGAAATTCAGAATGAAGTTGGAAATGTGCAAAGAGCCGGAGAGGCTGGTATTAGGGAAGCCAAAAGAGGAAATTTCCTAGAAGGAAGGAAATGTGAACAACATCAAATACTGCACAAATGGGGACGAAGACAAAGACCAAAAGACCCCACTGGGTTTGGATGTGGGGAGGTCCCTGCAGATTTGAGCAAGATTAGATTCCTCAGAGCAGCAGGATAGGAATTCAAATAAGCCTCCAGCAATGTGACCCTTCCTCCTTTTTAGTGACCAGATTAGTTGTTTCCAATGAGTTGCTCTCAGCTAGTTTATAGAAGCACTGTCCCTTGAAATTCAGATATACTCCATCAGGGGGCATTCGGCACCTTCCCTGAGAGTCACTAGAACCACGGCCACCACAAGGAGCACGCCATATCCCTCAAGTGCACCGATACGAACACAAGATGGAGAATGATCATTAGATTTTCATTGAGCTGAGAGAGAGAAGAAAGGAATTACCAAAGTAACAATTCATTTACAACAACTCAGCATTGATTATAAAATACTTGTAAGCCCCTACTCTTTGTCTAGTATTTAATAAAACCCTTATTTCCCTGCTCACCCAATGATGTCTGAACTCATCAGCTCTGAAATTTTGTGTGAATAGCTATTCTGTAAGGGAAAGAAATAGGGTAGGAAATAAAAGCAAGTATTGGCATTTCATAGCAGAGCCCACTTCATTGCTATCACTCATGAAGGAGAGAGTAAAACCCTTCCTTTGACTCAGTAAAAATATGCCATCCTGTGTCTGTCTGCTGGAGTTAACGCTTGGGCCAGTGAGTTTCAATTCAATGTATTTTTGCTCTTTAATCAGTTTTTCTTAGAATGGTTTCTAAAAATGCATATATTCACTCAGGGATAAGGGGGAAAACTACCTCCAGTCACTGGCTTGCCTGTGATAGAGAGGCAGAATCTCATTTTCACAGATACCATTAAAATATGCACCAGATCTGTAGAAAGAGCTATTTTCATGTTCCAGTCAACAGCTCCATATGAAAACTTCTTTGCTGATCTGGATAAAAAGGAATATGTATGAAAAAGTCTTGAAAATGGTTTTATAATTTTTTTTTATTTTAACCACCAGTCCAGTCAAAAGGATATGTGCATAGAGTTTGATATTCTTTCTTTGTTTTTCAAAGAACACTATCCTAAAAGATGATGTGTTAAGGAAAAATAATAATGCTCCATGGTCAAATAAATTTGGGAAATACTTCTTGCTCTATATCCCCCTGTTGGAGCATTACATTGAATATTGGCATGTCGAAAGATCTGGACAGTCATAAAATTAAAATATACGTTTAATTTTGCTTAACCCAATGTTTGTCATATTTATTTGAACCAGGAACATCCAGGAAACTAGTGTTCCAAAGAATAAACATTTAGAAATACCCTTATAATCCACTGGTTCAAATAGCCATTTTCAGATCCTTGCTAATTCAGATCCTATATCAGGCAAAGATTTAGAGGCCAAATCTGTCATGTTAATGAACTGATGCCTCAGCATGCATTGCGGGTCCAAAATATATAAAGCAGTTAAAGGCTGGGCCTAAACAAATATTATGGTGAGAGAGCACATAGTTCAGAAAGAGCCTAGCCTGACTCTCAAAAATAAAGGGGAGAAAATCAATGAGATAAGGGGTTCCCATCTGCTTTCTGAAAAAAACAGTTTAAACAGGGAAATGCCTCTCTTCTTTCCTTTGTCTGGCTGTTATTTTTATGCCCTTTTTGTGGATAGTTTAATAATTTATTTTATCAATGTCATTGTTTCTGCAGTTATTATACAGGTGCTTGAGAATGTCAATGTTAATTTGAGAATGAAAGTAAATTTATCTTGAAGTAACAGTGATCATACAGATGTGGTTGGCCCTGTTCAAGTAAGCCTTTTCTTTCCTTTACAGCCAACATATCAATTGTAGACATAGACACTAACCAGGAGGAGAGCATAGCAACTTCATCTTCTGGGAACAACTTTGGTCTTGACTTGAAAGCAGATGACAAAATATATTTTGGTGGTCTGCCAACACTGAGAAACTTGAGGTAATTTAGTGTCTATTTAGAGCTAAGGATTAAATTTTAATTAAATGGCCACTCTGTAGAGTTCTGAAGTTTAATTACAATAGGAATGTCACATAACCTTTAGTTGCAGAAAGGCTTAATTTAAAAAAAAAAAAAAATCATGTGACATGTTAGAACAACACCAGGATTTAGAAACCCAAGGATTAATTTGATATCTTTGTTGAAGAGATGGATGGAAATCATGATTTCTCTCATATTCACCTGATGGAAAGAATTATAAAAGTAATTAAAGGTGGAAACTAGAGTTGAATGTGCATCTTGTAATTGCCATTCCCCTTGCACAGTCGCTAGAGATAATGGGAAGCTGACACTGCTTAGTGTTCTAAAAATCAGTCAGTGTTCCAGGATCCTGGGAGTATAACCTATTTTATTGCTAAGCATTAGCATGCTAATGATATGTTGGAGCTTTCCCATATGCCTAATGCTAAAGCTATATTAGGTATTCTCGTGCCCATGCCAACATTTTTTTTTTAATTTCACATATGTTATATAGATAGCAGGATGGGGAGATATAATTAACTCATAGTTTAGTTCAAAAAATAAATGCAAGTAACTAAAAAAACCTCAGAAAATATTTCATATGGTATTTAATTAATTTACTGCTTGTTGTAAAACATCTCATAAGAAATAAAAGTTATAAAGCACTTGATGCTCAATAAATGTTAATTGAATGTAACTAGAATGGATTGATTTGATTTGGTTAAACCATAAGAGTTTGCTGCAAATACAGACTACCATGTTTTAAATTTTTGTTTTGTTTAGTTAGTTTTTAGTGGTTATAAATGTCCTGTCTCGGTGTTTCTACTCGAAAAAGACACACCACAGTTGGAGGGAATCTCAGAATAATTAAAAAGTATGGTAGTCGGTTGTTCTCGTATTTTCCAAATGAGCAGAGGAATTTCAACCTCATTTTATGATAGCTAGCATACAGACTGAGTTTTACTCTTCTCCCTGTACCTGAACTCATAGACCAGGCAACTAATTACCAGTCTTTCAAGGGTTTACGTTAATAAACTTCATGGGGCAGATAAACTGGTTCTGCATTCATCCACACTATAATGTACTTGTGTTAGGATTGCAAACTTAAAGTGTCTGGTCAGAAAAAAACATTGCAGATCAAATATATTTGAGTAACGATGTAGTGATTACTCAAAAATCTATTTATTCAGTCAACAAGTGTTTGTTGAACATCTACTCTGTGTCAGACACCATAGAAATACTAGGAATCCAACAGTTGCTTAAGTCTAAGATTTATTTTGCAAGATCATTCAGTAAATTCCCTTTAAGTGAAAATAAGGCTATCAAGGCATTGCTTTATATATTCTAGTGATGACTTGGTTTTAATTACCATAAAGTGATTTTTAGGTATTATCTACAAAGGTGTATATGTTGAACTACGTGGAGTTGGGTTTATGTATTAGCTTTCAGACTACATATCTAATGAGTCTGTATCACTAAGATGTTTTTACTTGCACAGTACAGCATTTTATAATATTTCTATGGCATGGCACATTATTCCGATACAATCTTTAGACATATATCTGTGATTAAGCAAGGAGCCACGCATTCATAGTTTGCTGTTATTTTGCCCACAGACAGGATCATAATATGATAAAGTTCAAAAGATGAGGTAAACAGAAATTATTTTTACTTATATTAATTTCAAGCTCCTTGAGAGGCAATATTTATCAGCTACTCGTGAATACTACAGCATAGCAACATTTGTGCATTTTCCCATTCATAAAATAGATTAAAATTAGTATTTTAAATTTCTACTTCAAAATAAAAATTTCCGGGCACCTGGGTGGCTCAGTTGGTTGAGTGACTGCCTTCGGCTCAGGTCATGATCCTGGAGTCCCGGGATCGAGTCCCACATCGGGCTCCCTGCTCGGCAGGGAGTCTGCTTCTCCCTCTGACCCTCTTCCCTCTCGTGCTCTCTCTCTCATTCGCTCTCTCTCAAATAGATAAATAAAATCTAAAAAACAAAACAAAACAAAATAAAAATTTCCCAAGAGAATAGTATGGAAAATGGTCATCCTTGGATTCTCATTCCACTGTGGTCAAGGGCCTATGTCTGTTTTCTGTTCTGTTGGTTTTGTTGCATTCCCTTCCTTTTAAGATCCCTGTGAGATACTTTTTAAAAAGACTTATGATTAAAGTTTATTGTTTTACTAAATGAAAATGCAATTATAAGTAAATTGTGTTTTTCTTTTCTCTTCCCTTTGACCTAGTATGAAAGCAAGGTAAAATTTAAATTATGCATGCCTTCTTCAAGTGCATGGGTTGGGTAAATGTGGCTTCTTAGATAAAGCAGTGGAGATGAAGAACAACACCTATGCAGCTTTATTCCTAGTACATTTCACGAGCACATACTGCGTCCTGAGAGTTCTCATGCTGTCCTTTACTTACAAAGATGCTGCTGCTCACCCACCATGAACTGGGCTGCAATTTCGCTTGTTTCACCAGCCACAGCCACGGGGACGGATTTGCTCTGCTTTTCTCAACTGCCCGCGCACAGTGCCCCCTGGCGCAGATATGCGGCAGCACACGTGCCAAGGGCCGCTGGTCAGGTTTACGGGCACAGCGTAGTTCAGCGAAACAGAGTAAAGCGGTCTGATGGGTTAAAACCTGGACCCCCATCTCTGTAGCGCTATGCTGTCTGCTGAACAATTAGCCTGTGCTCCCAAATGCTCACCAATGCCTTGCTGCTTTTTGCAAGCCTGCAAATACGCAAACGTTTACAGGGCCCTTGCACCTCTTCGCAAAGCTGCTTATTTATCGATTTGTTTATTTAGAATTAGCTATGAAGCCAGATAAAAGGAACCTCTGGAAATACTATACTTAAAACAAGCGTTTGCCTTAATGGTGAAGAAGTTTGTGGACAGCCCCCCTAGCTTCCCAGGAGCATTTTAATTCCCGTTTGCGGAAAGGCATTAGCATGAAAGCTATGAGGTGCAGGCCCCTGTATGTGGCTGACCAAACCCCAGAGATGTGCAGGGCTGGCACACGCTGGCTAGAACCTGGTGCTTTGGTATTTCAGAGCCCAACTATGCCATCATTCTGGAAAGGACATAATATGGCTGAGCTTATCCAAGAAATTTTTGAAGCAAATGCCAGACTTCTAATACCAGAAAGTAGAATATACAGAAATGAAAGTATATACAAAAAATAATCCAAGTTGTTTTATCACAATATAGTGATGAGCCCAGTCATGCTATTTGCTGAGATGGCTCAAAGGCAAAGCCTGGCTTTCAGTGGAACTATATAAAACTCTGGAGTGACACTGTGTAGCTTTGTAATGCTGCTTTTGAGGCAAACAGAGGAAACAGAGGCCTTTGGTTACCATTAGGAGTCCGAACACCATATGTGATTGCTTATCCCCCGTGCTTTTCCTAGCACCTAGCCTGCTAAATCATCGTGTTTTGAAATAGTTCATTGTACGTCCATGAAACAGTGAAATATATAACTTTTAGAAGTGATTTACTTTATTGATAAGACCTCTGAAAAACTGGGGATAAATTACTCATCCTCTAAAAGAAAATGAACACTTGGAATGAAATTCACCCATTCCCTTCACTTTATAAATAAGATTCTAAGCAAGATTCTCACCCTCCAGTTGGGCATGTTCTTCGTAATAACCAACTGACTAAACAGAAGGAGAAGACCTTGGGAATAAAGGGTAATGATCAAAGAAAATGAAGCGGTTCCAGAGAGAGAAAAAAAAAGAAACAGAACAGATACCTGGCATGACATAAATCACCAGCTACACATGCCAGGGTCTGAATTCCTTTCCCACCTGTTTTTCCTCATGCCGTGTGTTTTATATTGAGGCAAAAAAAGGGAATCCTGGCATCATGGGACCATGAGGAGAGAATTAATCATTATCCTAATAATATCTTGGTGTTGGTTGGACAGGTTTTACAGATGCTTCTTAACACCAAAAAAAAAGGTATTTTTTAACCCAATAGACCTGTACTATTCAATATGGTAGCCATCAGCCACAGTGTTCAGTTTCAATTAAATAAAATTAAACAACAGTGTTCAGTTTCTCATTGGCATAAGCTTGGTTTCAAGTGCCAATGCCACATGTGACTAGTAACTACCAATTTGGACAATGCGGAACAGAATCTTTCCATCTCCACAGAAAGTTCTATTGGATAGCACTGCTCTCGACTAAATAAAGAAGTATCGTCACTGACACTATACTAGCTTCTGTTTATTGAACACTTACTGGGTGCTAGCATGTTTGTCTTTTCCTAAGAAGTAATGAATAAAAAGTAAATGCTCAAATGTTATTTGGGTATAGAAGCCATTCAACCTTATTGGGAAAAAAATGTATGTTTTGTGCCTTTGGTTGCTTCGTTTTGTTATTGCTCCAATATAAAATAAGGATTTTGGGATCATTCTGTAAATCCAGTGTTGAAGTATTTTTTTAGACTATGTAATCCAAAAGAATGTTTCTTAGGCTTTGTTTTAGTTAAGCTTTAAAGAGAAATACAATATTATCTTAATCTTCAGCTGCCCCTTGTCCCCCCAAAAAAGTCTCAATGACAAAAATATTTTCCTCTCAAAATAAATGAGTCCAGATTTTTTCCCTAAATTTTGAGCAAGTTTTTTAAACTTTTTTGGTATGTAGTTTTATTATACTGTCTACACAACTGTCTATGCTTTGGTACAAAAAAAAAAATACATTTCATTACGCATATAAAGCACTTAAGAAATCTGTTAATTTCTGTACCTTGAATTTAAATGCTGTGGTGAGATTATTTAAAAGAGCAAGAAGAACTACATAAAGATTCTTTCTGCAGGATGGGGGTAAAAAATGCACTTAATCCAACCAGTAGATAATGGAACCACAGTTTGCTAGTTACGTGTGTACGCATGCGCACGGTTCAAGAAATGTGTGCCAGTCCATGTGTCCGTTTGCTCCGTATGGCTTGCGTCCCATAGTCACAAACATTTCCCTCATGCTGTTGCTTTTGTTTTCTGTGAAACTTTTCAACAGACCAGAAGTAAATTTGAAGAAATATTCTGGCTGCCTCAAGGATATTGAAATTTCAAGAACTCCATATAATATACTCAGTAGCCCTGATTATGTCGGTGTTACCAAAGGATGTTCACTGGAGGTTAGTTTATTTTTAATGGCTTCCTAGATACTTTCGTCTCTGATTTCATTTACTTAGTTTGGGTGCTCTTACAGGGAGTAGTCCCTTGTTAATATATTTTAAATTCCTACTGACCCTTGTCTTAGCAATTCTCAAATAACAAAGCAAGATTGAAGCACTTCTATAAATTACCATAATCACATAAACGTAGGAAATGGTTTGATGAAGACCCAAAATTATGAAGCAATTTCCCACATGTATAATAAACACTTCATAACATGTATTTTTAATATTAATCTCTTCTCTGGTTCTCTCTTCATTTCCAATACTACTTCTCCCTTTTCCTCATTTTTGTCATCTATTTTAGATTTATTTTATCTTTATGGCTTACATATAGCTTTTTAGCGACCTTAATTTTTTTTTCCACATTTTTTCACATTCCACATCCATGTTACACAAATAACAAGTAACCATTTACACTATAAACATTAGTGCATAGCATCTTGTCTATAGTTTGAAAGTCAAACCTCCTTTTCTTTGAAAATGGCACGGATTAAGAACCATCTGCAAAGACCATCTTTGACAGGACTGCGAAGTCCCCTGCTATCGGGTATCTTCAGTATCTTTGTTGCCAAAGCACGTCCCTAGTTCCATTTAACTCCTCTGCCTTGACTCTTCACTGGGCGCTGACTCATAGGAGAAACACAGGTCCAGCTCTACTCTCTTAAAATGTCTATAAGCAAGAGTCAACAGTCATCAGGAAATATTAGTAAAAAGTTTACGGGCATCCTTAAAGTAATGAGTTTGTTTTTTAAAAAAATATTAAATATATCATGCTTATAAAATTTTGATTACGCTGATATGACACCACAATTCATTTTAGCTGTTTTCTCCACCTGGAATTATTTTAAGGCATGGCTATAGAATTCAGGGAAATGAAGGGAGAATCAGGAGAAAGAAAAAGTGAATCCATCCCTGAGACATGAGGTTTAAAGACTGAAACAGAACGTTCAGGGTCTTCATAGTTAGAGGCTCTAATTTGGAATTAGCCATAGATATCCACCATGAGAAGCTTGGGAATAAGGAATAGGGAGACACAGAGTTGGCTTCTTTAAGAAAGTTTTATTCAGAGTTTTAATCTTCCAAAGCCTAACTCTCATCCACATCCAAAAGATATATATATGAGGATGGAAAACTGTCCAGAAAATGAATAGCCTGTATGTGTGAAAATCATAATTCTGTAAAGGCACTTTTCAGTCACCGGGAATTATTTTACAACTGAAATATGAGGCAGAAATGATGTGGATAAATATTGAAAAGTCTGCACAGTAGTTTTATCTGAACTATCCAAAAGTCTATGATTTGAAAATTGGAAAAGAAAATAGATGATACATTTTACAACACTTCTGTCACTTAACTGGGCCTGAAAGACTGTGCGGGAAAATATCCTGTGTTAGAGGATGCCTTGCTTTTACTCCAGCAAAATCCAGGACTTTTAAAATGAGCATTTTGAGCACTCAAAATGCCCAACTACATGGGCTTGCTTAACTAAATCCTAGCACATTCATGCAATGGAGTGTCCTCCTGCCTTTAAAAGTGATGATGAGACCTGTGTTTTCTGAGAGAGGTATCTCCCACAGATGCAGTCAAAAAAAGAATTTACAAAAGAATGTGCCTATCAAGATTTAGTTTAGGAGGAGAGAGGAAGAGGGCAAGGTTATGAAAAGTAAATGAATGAATGTATGCATGATGAACAGATGAATGAATGAATGAATGAGAAACGCTATATGCTTCTACACAGCTTTGACATGGGATGATTTTTGCTTTCTCTCCATAAACAATTAGCTGATTGAGGGTTTTCAAGGGATTATGAGAGTGTTTTCCAGGGAGATTTAGCAAGATAGATTTAGAACAAAAGAAAATGTTATCTGTCAGTGGTAATCGTCTGTATTTTAAATCAGAAGTTCTCACTGGGTGGCTCAGTAGGTTGAGCATCTGACTCTGGGTTTCAGCTCAGGTCATGATCTCAGAGTCCTGGGATCAAGCCCCACATCAAGCCCTGCATCAAGACCTACGTTGGGCTCTATGCTCAGTAGGGAGTCTGCTTGAGTATTCTCTCCCTCTCCCTCTGTCCCTCCCCCTGCTCGCTCTCTCTCTCTAAAATAAATAAATCTTAAAAAAAAAAAAAACAGAGGCCAGAATTATTTTAACCCAGACTGCTCAGAAAGCTCAGTCACACCTAGAAATAATATTTCTTCAGTTGCTCCCAAGCTCTCCATATAGCTGTGAGTTTCATATTTTCTAAAACAATGTATTTCATGGTGACACTGAGTGCCTGGAGGAGGCTGAGCGAGACAGAGAAATTAATTTAAATTTTCATTTCTGATGCTTTCCTCTCTTTTTCCCTTTTACCCACAGAATGTTTACACAGTCAGCTTCCCCAAGCCTGGTTTCATAGAGCTGCCCCCTGTGCCAATTGACGTAGGGACAGAAATCAACCTGTCCTTCAGCACCAAGAATGAGTCTGGGATCATTCTCTTGGGAAGTGGAGGGACACCAACACAACCTCGGAGGAAACGAAGGCAAACTGGACAGGTACCCTCATACCTGGTTGACAGTGCATTTTCCTAGTGCTTATATAAAACACCTATTTTATAAGGAGACTGGTGAGACATTTAGGTTTTATAAATTGCCTTTGTATTTTTAGGTTTGCATCGTTTATTTCCACTCTCATCTTTTTTAGGACAGTTATTTCCTGGAGGATTTTCCTTGTTGGTCAGCTCTAGGTGCATGGATACTTGTTTTTGTGCCTGTATTTCATACGGGTTTAGCATATGTGTGTTTAAAGAGAGAAAGCTTCTATTCAAATTATAATAATTTTCTCTTGTCTCTAAGTCCAATTACTTACCGCATCTACAGATATCCTGCTAGGGTCCCTTAAATACAAATTTAAATTCCTTCTAGGATCAATTTCCCAGTTTTGCTAGCCAACGTGATGCAGTCTATTGAAATCTGACCCACTCCAGTCTCTCTGAACACAGAAAAGGCAGAGAATGGACCTGGGATAGGAGAAGGCAAATAGAGCCCAACCCACACAAGCAAAGACAGTAGCCTATGCTCAGGTTCACTCATGACATGAAGAGAAAGCCCACAGAGTAAGGTGTGAGCTTCAATTTTCATACCCTATAGCCATTTGATTCTGTTAAAAGTGATCTCTTAGGGGCGCCTGGGTGGCTCAGATGGTTAAGCGTCTGCCTTCGGCTCAGGTCATGATCCCAGGGTCCTGGGATCGAGTCCCGCATCGGGCTCCCTGCTCCTTGGGAGCCTGCTTCTCTCTCTCTCTCTCTCTCTCTCATGAATAAATAAATAAAATCTTTAAAAAAAAAAAAGTGATCTCTTAGGCATCATAACCCTTTACTGCCTTGATATTCCTCCAGCACTTTTGATCTTATGTTTTTAAATATATGCATTTTTCCATTTAATCTTGTTTTTCTCAGTGAAAGAGTTCATAGGAATTATCTAGTCTGCCATTACCAAAGAATGGAACGCTTTACAAATATGTCCTTAAATACGCATGCATCCTTATAAATAAACCAGGTTGTGTTGTTTGTGATTTTATGTGTTTTTAAAATCACATTTATCCTTTAAAATTGAGTAGTCAGTAATATGGTTGACCCTTCAACAATATGGGAGTTAGGGACACCAACCCCCACCCCCACTCAGTCAAAAATCCACATGTAACTCTTGACTCCCCAGTGACTTAACCACAAATAGCCTAGTATTGACTGGAAGACTTGCCCATAATATAATCACTAGATTAACACATATTTTGTATGTTATATGTATTATACACTGTATTGTACACTGTATTCTAAAATTAAGCTTGGGAAAAGAAAATGTTATTAACAACATCATAAGAAAGAGACATACATTTACAGTACCATACTATATGTATCTAAAAAAAAAATCCACATATAAGTGGATCCATACAGTTCAAAGCCATGTTATCCGAAGTATTATATAATAAATCTTATTCTTCTCCCCAAAAAAATAAAGACTAAACAAAATAAATTCAAAGATGTATAACCATGAGTAACGTGGGTTATCTCAGGAATACAAGAGTATTTCAATATCAGAAAATCTAAAAACTATATATACATCTTAATAGATGCTGAGAAACCATTTGGCAAAATTTAATACTCATTCCTGATTTAAAACAAACAAGCAAACAATCCAACATAACAATATGGATGGATATTAGAAACTGAAGAGAAATGAAAAAAATGTACGACATACTGTATGATATCATTTTTACAGATTTCTAATACAAGTAACACTAAACAGGGGCTACTGGCTTGCTCAGTTGGTAGAACATGCAACTCTTAATCTCAGGGTTGTAAGTTTGAGCTCCACATTGGGTGTAGAGATTACTTGAAAATAAAATCTTTAAAAAAAAGTAACACTAAGCAACATATTGTTTACAGATATATATGTGAGTTTCCAGAAATAATTTTTAAAAAGCAAGGGAATGGTAAACATAAAATCCATGTTAGTGGTTACCTCTGAGATGGTGAAGCTGGGGGATGGTGTTGGGAGGAAACTCACAGGAGATGCAATGGATTGTTTCTTAAATGGGTTGTAGTTTTACTGGTATTCATATAATTGTATAGTTGGGAACATGGCTTCATGTCTCTTATATTTTGAGGAATGTATCAAATAGTCATAATAAAAATATTCTTTAAAGAAGAGAGGGAGGAAAAAGTGTTATTTTCTCTCATTTCTTACTGCACATAATAAGCACTGAATACATATAATATTTAAATTTCCTCTTAAATTCCTTCTCTTTTAATCCTCAAAAATAAAATTATTTTCTCACTATTATAAGTGATGAGCTAGTTATAATGAGAGGGCCAGATCAAACATTCTGAAGTAGATTTTCACTAAAGAATATGTTTCCTAGGTCACTGTCAGATAATTAAGCACCACCTACTGGTTCCAAATTTCTCCTCATCAAGACTAAGTAAATGGAGGGCGCCTGGGTGGCTCAGTTGGTTAAGCGACTGCCTTCGGCTCAGGTCATGATCCTGGAGTCCCTGGATCGAGTCCCGCATCGGGCTCCCTGCTCGGCGGGGAGTCTGCTTCTCCCTCTGACCCTCCTCCCTCTCATGCTCTCTGTATCTCATTCTCTCTGTCTCAAATAAATAAATAAAATCTTAAAAAAGAAAAAAAAAAAAAGACTAAGTAAATGGACTTAAATCACCAGCTTTCAGGATTGTTCTTAAAATAGAACCTGTGCCCATTAAAACAATTAAAAAGAAAATATTAAGTACCATAATGCAAAGTAAATTGGAAATAATATGTTAATGTTTCAACATTTTAATAATAATAAATATTCTTTTTTTTAAAAATCTCATAATAAGTGCTATTTGAAAGAGGAAACAATGTTAAATGGTTCCAGTCGGTTATAGAATCAGTGCTGGTTACGTTGACATATTTTCTTTTCCAAAGCTAACATTTTGATGCCATTGGGTTATTTGTGATTCTGTTCTGCTAAAGGAGTTTCTTACCTCGAACAATCAATCCAGCTGAGAACATTTTAATTGAGTGAGTAGTTTGCAGTTGCCCCTTTGGTGGATGGTGAACACTAGTCCAGGTCCTCTAGACCTTCTGTGTTGGACACACAGCTGCCTAGACGATTCAGTAGATCATCGGAGACATTATGATGTTTGACTGAAACCGTCTCCACCACCTCCGGTGACTCGTGGAGGACGGAATGATCATCATGTAGCAGGCGCCCTCACGCTCCACAAGAAAGGGAACACGCGTGGCTTTGGCTTTGGGGACTAGCACTGCATTCAGTCTCCCTGGGGTTCATAATCTGATCTCAAAACCATACTGGTTGCTATAGTAACAATAGCAAGAAGAAAGCAGTCGTGTTTGTGGATGAAAAATTGTCTTCCTTCTTTCTAAATGTGGGAGACAGGTTACATGTTGGTGATAGCAATCTATTCGACCAGCTCAGAGAACATATTGAAGGCTAACCACTCAAAATGCCATGAGATCGGGAGTCAGATCTGATGTCCAGAAGCTAGCTGTCCACTTGTGAATATAGGGAAGGAACCCTTTGTTTCCTGATGGGTTTTGCGAGTTTGAGACCCCGGTGCAAGCCCAGCTGTTCCCTCTAGCGTGGCAGATTTGCTCTGCAGAGACTGTTGTATTACTACATCCGCTCTCCACATCATCTAACAAGAAACAATGGTCAATGATTAAAAAGCTATTCTCAGCTGCTTTAAACACTCCAAGAAAATATTGAGTCTTAAGGGCTCAGGTAAGATCTCTGAGCCACAGAATCGGCAGTTCTGTCCGGGAACTTCTAAGGCTGTCATAGTTGAGACCCCTCTTTAATCTTCCATGACCACTTGCTCTTGCAGGCCTATTATGCGATATTCCTGAACAAGGGCCGTCTGGAAGTGCATCTCTCCATGGGCACACGAACAATGAGGAAAATCGTCATCAAACCAGAGCCGAGTCTGTTTCATGACGGGAGAGAACATTCTGTTCATGTCGAGAGAACTAAAGGGTAACAATAGCTCTAGACAATTTGTTGTAACTAATGTCAGCTCCCCTGCTCACACGACCCTCTGTCGGGACCTTTGTATGTGTGGTCATACAATGCATTGCAAAACTGTCAAGTAGCTTAAGTTCATCTTCTTGACATTTCATGTTTCCGGGATCCTCATGTCCCTTGGCCCCTGGGAATTCTCTTCACGTTTTTATTCTGTGCAGTTCTCCACTCTCGCTTTGGAAAAACTGAATGCCTCTTCTGAAGCTGTAGATAAGAAAGATCCCTCCCTCCCCCCTGCACCTCTCCAGTATCCTCCTCTCGGTAAGGCAGGCGCAGAGAGAAGCATACAGAAGAGCTCAGCTGGACCCTGCAGCCTTTAGTGGCGGGTCTTTCATTCAGGTCCCAAAGCTGAGAAACCTGTCACAGACCTGGAGCCGGCCGCTGTGGCAGGACCTCCTGAGAGCCACTAAGTGCCTGCCTCATCCCTGTACCCCCTCACTGCCCAATAGGTGTGGGGGTCCCTGCAGAGTGGCTTCAGGAGGGAACAGAGCCCGAAGAAAAGACTGGAAAAGGCTGCTGTCCACCCATCAGTGCGTGGAGGTTGCCTCTCTGAGGGTCTGAAAGAGCACTTGCTTCCCAGCCCTGAGTCACGAAATTGGCAGTGACCGCGTTATAAACCGATCCCTCATTTCTCCAGAATGCTGGGGCACTTGGTATTTCCTTTACGGGGAAAGTCGTCTGTATTTTCATCAAAATGTTGTATGACATGGGGCGCCTGGGTGGCTCAGTTGGTTAAGCGACTGCCTTCGGCTCAGGTCATGATCCTGGAGTCCCGGGATCGAGTCCCGCATCGG